AAGTTCAGGCATATGATAGTGTTTAATTATACCACAGCAAGTCCAGGCATATGATAGTGTTTAATTATACCACAGCAAGTCCAGGCATATGATAGTGTTTAATTATACCACAGCAAGTCCAGGCATATGATAGTGTTTAATTATACCACAGCAAGTCCAGGTATACTAATGTCTAAGATAAATTCTATGAATATCAAATAGTCACAAAAATTGTCTGACCAACATTTCGCCAACAGAGGAGAGAGCAGTGGTGGAACAGATTGAACACCAGATGTCAGCAATGGACAACAAAGTGTCTGACTTGGAGACAGAGAACGATGAACTGAAGAAAGAGCGAAGTCAGATGGCTGCCAAGATGAAGGTGAGGCTTATAGGCTGAAAAGAATAGTGTTGTTAGGCTTATGTAAACTGTGCACCTCCTTGACAAGCCTGTCACATGAAACATGTATCTAATTATTAACATGGCATCAATAAATTTTAGAGCTAGATTTTGGAAATGTATACGTAAATGAAGAATGTGTCTATTAAAAGGAAGAAAAGACATTATTACCATTAAAATTTGATGATTCAGAATTTTAAACATTGACATAATTTTTTTTTTTTAAAGTTCATCAGAATTTTTTAACAGAAGCAATGTTGTATATTTGTACTGAAATAAGTGGCAATGTAAAGTTTATGATGTGTGTATGGTAAATAGGACCTGGAAACCAAATTAGAGGAGGCCAAGAATCAGGCAGAACTCCAGACCACCCTAGCTATGGGTACCAACACAGAGGTCAGTACTTAAAGTCTTCAACACATTTCTTATATAAATGTTCAGCTGATTAACTTTACTGCTGGTCCTGTTTTTACAGAGGTTATCAACTTGATCAGCTCACAAGGTCATGGTCTTACAAATGTTTCTCAGGTTATGAGGTGAAGGTCAGATAAATAGTAGACAGAAGACCATCGTTGATGGAATTTAGATGAAGTTAATAAAATATTGAGGGAAAAATTTCTATAACATTGATATGGGTAACATATCCCCTTAACCTTTGGTCACTTTTTACATTATTATAATGACTTCATTAACAGGAATTGTCGGAACAGATCACCCGCCTCCAGTCTCAGGTAACAAGTTGGACACAGCTTTGTCTCAGGAAAAAGCTGCACACCAAAACACCAAGGATGAGCTCGAAAACCTCCACAAGCAGATGGCTGTGTTACGAGAGGAGACAAATAATGAGAAGGCTGACATCAAAGCTAAAATAGACAGCAACAACAAAACATCCAAGGCTATCATTAAGGCTATGGAACAGGTAGGTACACATTCATAGAGTAATTCTTAGAACATCCAAAGTTATCATAAAGACTGTGGAACAGTTAGGTACATACTTACAGAGTAATTCTTAAAACATCCAAGGTTATCATAAAGACTGTGGAACAGGTAGGTAAACATCCATAGAGTAATTCTTAAAACATCCAAGGTTATCATAAAGACTGTGGAACAGGTAGGTACACATCCATAGAGTAATTCTTAAAACATCCAAAGTTATCATAAAGACTGTGGAACAGGTAGGTACACATCCATAGAGTGATTCTTAAAACATCCAAGGTTATCATAAAGACTGTGGAACAGGTAGGTACACATCCATAGAGTAATTCTCAAAACATCCGAAGTTATCATAAAGACTGTGGAACAGGTAGGTACACATCCATAGAGTAATTCTCAAAACATCTGAAGTTATCATAAAGACTGTGGAACAGGTAGGTTCATACTCAGAGTACAGCACCGGTATTTGCTTATTATATATTATTATTGTCCATGTCAAGGTAGATTGCGAAACACTACACTAATCACAAAAAGTAGCATAGAAAATACCAAGATATCAACAAAATCTTCTTTCAAACAATTCAATAAAATAGGGCAAAATTTAAACAAAAGCTAGGTGTACATGGAGATTCCTGTAAAAGTACAAGGAGAATAAGGCTATGTGTTTCAGAGGAAGTATTCCTCATCTACGGCACATTCTGTCTAAATCTTGTTCAATCTGAGTCAATAATATCACAATCACAAATGAAAACAAGGTTACTTACAATGGAACCACCTGACATACTAACGAGCATGACTTATATCACATCAGGAATTTTCTTAAGGAGATCATTATTTTGATCATGAAATCTAGCACATCCAATAGCTTTAGCTTTTTGGAGCCTGGAATATTAACATTTCATCGAACGTAGGTCACTAGGTCAGTGTTTACCTTGACCTTAAACAAGTTCTCACAAACTTAAAATTTAACAAGCAAACTCTAGTAGTTTGTTGGGTGATGATAAATGAGTAACATTTGAACTGGTTAATCTTATGTACATATTTCAGGAGCTGGACAAGTCCAAGACTCGAATTGATGAGTTGGAGAAGGAAAGACTGGCCAACGTACCGATGGACACAGCCAAGGAAATAAAAAATCTACAGACTAAGATTGTGAGTTTATACATTCGTTGTGTGTTGCTAAGTTTAAAGTCAAATAGATTTTCATGTACCATATCACTGTATCTTAATGTTTATGCTGCTGTTAATAAATAGACTATGGCACATTGTGTTTTACCATTCTGTCTATGCAGCAATGATATTTTACTGAGATAGGCTTTGTATTGAGGGCACTGGTCTATTTTTTAGTCAGTAATAGTTTCAGGATGTTTGGCATAGAATTCTAGAGGTCAAATATTGATGTTATAAACAAATTTGATCTTTTAAATTGCTGACAGGTTTTGAACTTAATTATTTCCTTTAGAACCAGTGTCAATAGGCACACGGTTTGTTTAGTATTTGCAAATAACTCTTATCATTAAAGAGAAAACAAAGGCAGATGTTTTACACGAATACTCTTTAGTCAGATTTAATGTTGAGACATACATGAGAAAACAAAGGCAGATGTTTTACACAAATACTCTTAAGTCCTATTTAATGATGAGACAAACTTACTGAATTTTCATAGACATCATATGATATTGGAATATTAAATTTTTCAAAACAAATGCAACCAATTGCAAATCATTTATTGAAATAACGTTTGCAGATGGAGGATCTTACTCGAGTGTCAATGTAAGATGGAATTATCAATAATTTGCCACAAGTCTTTATACATAGGCATAAATGTAAGGTTACATTTATCACATAACTTGTATTTTTGAAACTAAAGGAAGATTTTCACATTTATCTCCCTTGAAGACATGCTTATGTTGATGATTAAATTTACAATATGATCAAATTGATCATGGGACATGATAGTGGATGACCAGGTAATGTATAATGTATCAGCATATCCTGATGAGCTTTGTGATATATCCTCTCCAGGCAGCCCTTGAGAAGGAGAAGACTACCTCAGGTACAGCAGCTGCTGGACTAACTGGTCAGTTGTCTGAACTACAGACCAAGCTAGACAGTGCTAACAAAAATCTGGAGAGCCAGCGAGCGGCAAATAGGGATCTGGAGGTAGGTCATTGGAATAGAATTATATATAAGCTAATGTGAAACATTGTTACTCCATTTGAAAAATAGATGTTTATTGTTGTGGCAATTGTTAAAGAACAATGAATAAATATTTCACAGGAGTGTTTGTTTCATGTCTGTCTGTTAAGTATGAAGAACCTGCAGTACATGAAGATCAAACTCCAAACCAGTACAGTAACCAAACAAAAGTGTAAAAATACTACTATCACTGAAGAAATATTTGAAACTTTGTTTATGGACCAGTATTATAGTAATTATTAGAAAAACATTTCAAACATTAGATATGTGTTTCATTTAGGCCAAGTTTAAGAATGCTAAAACAGAAAAGGATAAGGCTGTGAGAGATGCAGTGTCAGCACAGGAAAAGAAGGACCAGACCAGAATCAACGATGACAAAAAACGGATCAATGCACTCGAGAAAAGGATCAAGGAGCTGGAATCTGCTGGAGTAAAACCAGGCGTAAGTACCAACACATTTCATCTCAGGAACTCTGTTTACAAGGCGTAAGTACCAGGAACTCTGTTAACCAGGTGTAAGTACCAGGAACTCTGTTAACCAGGTGTAAGTACCAACACATTTCATCTCTGGAGCTCTGTTAACCAGGCATAAGTACCAGCACATTTCATCTCAGGAACTCTGTTAACCAGGTGTAAGTACCATGAACTCTGTTAACCAGGTGTAAGTACCATGAACTCTGTTAACCAGGTGTAAGTACCAGGAACTCTGTTAACCAGGTGTAAGTACCAGGAACTCTGTTAACCAGGTGTAAGTACCAGGAACTCTGTTAACCAGGTGTAAGTACCTGGAACTCTGTTAACCAGGTGTAAGTACAAGGAACTCTGTTAACCAGGTGTAAGTACCAGGAACTCTGTTAACCAGGCATAAGTACCAACACATTTCATCTCAGCTTTGTTACACTGGTCTATTGATACTAATATTATACACAGGTTTCATCATCATATAAATTATGAGATTCATAACTTACTCTAAAAGCAGTTCTAATGTATAAGTATTCATTGTGTTGTACAATATCTGCTTATCCCTAATCAATGTAAAACTTTAAAGAAAAGCTTTCTAAGAAAGCATACAGATAAGTCAAGGATATGTAAAGTGGGTTTATTAAAATGATATGGATATTTCAAACCCAATCTCTAAAGAATTTAGGCTCATTTAACAAATTGCCTATGAACTGGAAACTCCTGTTAGTACCTCTGTTATAGATGTATTGTTTTTTGTCTTTGACAGATTGGTGCTGTAGTAGCAGGGGTAAGTGTCAGTGGCTTCATCTTGATGCAAGGATATAGGTAAACTGTAGCAATATATGTGGGATTTTGAATTTGAGTTATCTCCCTTGAAATTTTAATAGTGATTTTGGTCCATGGTAACAACACTTGTTCATCAAAAACAAGTGCTATAGTAACATAACTACTTAATGGTTTTATTTAAGCAAGAGTATCTTAGATAATGCCTTCCATAAAGATTGTGATATTTAGCTGACAACTAATTAGACTGTTAAATGATCTTGCCATGTTAAATGTGTATTTTATGTGGCTCCAAATTGAGCTTAATTAAGTAAGTAAAGTTTCCTAACAGAAGCTGTAATACATATATCACTACATGTATGTAGGATCATTTCAACACACATTTCAGATTCTGGATATTCACCTACATTTTATAGTTCATTCAACTTTGTTATTCAAATGTGTCATGTCAAAGTTTTTTGTTTAGGCGGTGTTGACTTTTATTGCCCTTGAGGTGTTTAAACTCTCAGAGTGAAACCTTGAATATATTACACTATTTACTATTTACATTTATTTATGATTATCCCAGTCCACATTTTAGATTCTGATTTTCACCTTCAGTTTGCTGTTAACTGGACTTAAGTTGCTCCATGTTAAAGTTTTCAGTTTAGTCCGGCCTTGAGCTTTATTTCTCTCAAAGTACTCCAACTGTCATCACCAAACCTGGAATATATCAATATCTATGTATGATCATCCCAACATTTTAGGTCCTTATTTTCAACTAGTTTACTGTTGACTTTGTTAATTAATTGAACTAAATGTTTTACATTTAGATTGGAGTTGAACTTTATTTCTCTCCAAGTATAAAGCCTGTCATAATCCGACCTGGAGTATGTTTATACAGTATGCATGGCCAAGAATATAACCTACAGTTTACAGTTAACTGGACTATGTTGATTAATTTTGCCACTTAAAAAATTATTTTCTCTTTAAATACATTGATCTTAATTTCAATTTTTTGGTACATCTGACAGTTGTATCTCTGTATTTACCTGTAGGGTAAGGGAGGTACCTCTGATAGTTATATCTCTGTATTTACCTGTAGGGTAAGGGAGGTACCTCTGACAGTTGTATCTCTGTATTTACCTGTAGGGTAAGGGAGGTACCTCTGATAGTTATATCTCTGTATTTACCTGTAGGGTAAGGGAGGTACCTCTGACAGTTGTATCTCCGTATTTACCTGTAGGGTAAGGGAGGTACCTCTGACAGTTGTATCTCCGTATTTACCTGTAGGGTAAGGGTGGTACCTCTGACAGTTGTATCTCCGTATTTACCTGTAGGGTAAGGGAGGTACCTCTGACAGTTATATCTATGTATTTACCTGTAGGGTAAGGGTGGTACCTCTGACAGTTATATCTATGTATTTACCTGTAGGGTAAGGATGGTACCTCTGACAGTTATATCTATGTATTTACCTGTAGGGTAAGGATGGTACCTCTGACAGTTATATCTCCATATTTACCTGTAGGGTAAGGGTGGTACCTCTGACAGTTGTATCTCCATATTAACCTGTAGGGTAAGGATGGTACCTCTGATAGTTATATCTCCGTATTTACCTGTAGGGTAAGGGTGGTACCTCTGACAGTTATATCTCCTTATTTACCTGTAGGGTAAGGGTGGTTCCTCTGACAGTTATATCTATGTATTTACCTTTAGGGTAAGGGTGGTACCTCTGACATTTATAGCTCCGTATTTACCTGTAGGGTAAGGGTGGTACCTCTGATGCTGCAGTGAAGGCTATGAGAGAACAGATGACCAAAATCAAACAAGAGAACAATGAGCTGAACATGCGACTCAAACAACTGGAAATGGACATGAAGCGGGGCGGTCGACCAGGAACTGCAGCTGTAGGTGGAACAGTTGATGATGTAAGTAAACAAACTTCAGGATATGTGACAGAACAAGGAATGTTTGATAACAGTACTAGCAGTAATTTAATTGTTAATGATAACTTTCAGAATAACATGGTCTCAGTAGTAAAACAACTTGACAAGTGGTGACCAGGTAGTGAAACAACCAGATAAATGGTGACTTGGTAGTGAAATGACCAGATAAGTGGTGAAAGGGTAGTGAAACGACCAGATAAGTGGTGACTTGGTAGTGAAATGACCAGATAAGTGGTGACAGGGTAGTGAAACGACCAGATAAGTGGTGACTTGGTAGTGAAACAACCAGATCAATGGTTACTTGGTAGTGAAATGACCAGATAAATGGTGACTTGGTAGTGAAATGACCAGATAAGTGGTGACCAGGTAGTGAAACAACCAGATAAATGGTGACTTGGTAGTGAAATGACCAGATAAGTGGTGACTTGGTAGTGAAATGACCAGATCAGTGGTGACTTGGTAGTGAAACGAACAAATAAGTGGTGACCAGGTAGTGAAATGACCAGATAAGTGGTGACTGGGGAGTGGAATGACCAGATAATTGGTGACCAGGTAGTGAAACGACCAGATAAGTGGTGACCAGGTAGTGAAACGACCAGATCAGTGGTGACTTGGTAGTGAAAAGACGAGATCAGTGGTGACTTGGTAGTGAAACGACGAGATCAGTGCTGACTTGGTAGTGAAAAGACAAGATAAGTGGTGACTTGGTAGTGGAATGACCAGATCAGTGGTGACTTTGTAGTGAAACGATCAGATCAGTGGTGACTTGGTAGTGGAATGACCAGATCAGTGGTGACTTTGTAGTGAAACGATCAGATCAGTGGTGACTTGGTAGTGGAATGACCAGATCAGTGGTGACTTTGTAGTGAAAAGACAAGATAAGTGGTGACTTGGTAGTGGAATGACCAGATCAGTGGTGACTTTGTAGTGAAACGATCAGATCAGTGGTGACTTGGTAGTGAAACAACCAGATCAGTGGTGACTGGGTAGTGAAATGACCAGATCAGTGGTGACTTGGTAGTGAAACGATCAGATCAGTGGTGACTTGGTAGTGGAATGACCAGATCAGTGGTGACTTGGTAGTGAAACGATCAGATCAGTGGTGACTTGGTAGTGGAATGACCAGATCAGTGGTGACTTTGTAGTGAAACGATCAGATCAGTGGTGACTTGGTAGTGAAACAACCAGATCAGTGGTGACTGGGTAGTGAAATGACCAGATAAGTGGTGACTTGGTAGTGAAATGACCAGATCAGTGGTGACTTTGTAGTGAAACGATCAGATCAGTGGTGACTTGGTAGTGGAATGACCAGATCAGTGGTGACTTGGTAGTGAAACGATCAGATCAGTGGTGACTTGGTAGTGGAATGACCAGATCAGTGGTGACTTTGTAGTGAAACGATCAGATCAGTGGTGACTTGGTAGTGAAACGACGAGATCAGTGCTGACTTGGTAGTGAAAAGACAAGATAAGTGGTGACTTGGTAGTGGAATGACCAGATCAGTGGTGACTTTGTAGTGAAACGATCAGATCAGTGGTGACTTGGTAGTGGAATGACCAGATCAGTGGTGACTTTGTAGTGAAACGATCAGATAATTGGTGACCAGGTAGTGAAACGACCAGATAAGTGGTGACCAGGTAGTGAAACGACCAGATCAGTGGTGACTTGGTAGTGAAAAGACGAGATCAGTGGTGACTTGGTAGTGAAACGACGAGATCAGTGCTGACTTGGTAGTGAAAAGACAAGATAAGTGGTGACTTGGTAGTGGAATGACCAGATCAGTGGTGACTTTGTAGTGAAACGATCAGATCAGTGGTGACTTGGTAGTGAAACGATCAGATCAGTGGTGACTGGGTAGTGAAATGACCAGATCAGTGGTGACTTGGTAGTGAAATGACCAGATCAGTGGTGACTTGGTAGTGAAACGAACAGATAAGTGGTGACCAGGTAGTGAAATGACCAGATAAGTGGTGACTTGGTAGTGAAATGACCAGATCAGTGGTGACTTGGTAGTGAAACGAACAGATAAGTGGTGACCAGGTAGTGAAATGACCAGATAAGTGGTGACTTGGTAGTGAAATGACCAGATAAGTGGTGACTGGGTAGTGAAACGACCAGATAAGTGGTGACTTGGTAGTGAAACGACCAGATAAGTGGTGACCAGGTAGTGAAATGACCAGATCAGTGGTGACTTGGTAGTGAAACGACCAGACATGGGCTTAATATGGAAGTGTTTACCTTTTAAGGAAACAGGATCAAGGTAAAACTGGAAATTACTTGAATACTTAAAAAATGCTTGAAATACTCAATACATGTTTTTTTCACTCTCAGAAAAATGCACAGAAAAGGAATGAGAAGATTCTGAAAGAACTGGAAAAGAAGATTGAAATAGAGAAAAATAAAACAACAAAACTGGATGAAAATCTGAAAAGTACTGAAGAGGAACTCAAAGTAACAAAGAAGGTGAATCACTAACAAAAAATACATTTGATTATGTTATGAATACTTTTAAACTGTAATAAATGTCCTCCTAATCCTATTTACATTTCCCACTTGGTCAGAGATTTAATGCTGAATATTTGTCCTATTAGATCTCGAGTCCTGAATCACTATTTTGGATCCGAGGGACATTTTATATTTGTTTTCAGGTGTCTAGTAAAAAAGATATCCCACTATAGTGCATTAATTTCTCAAAGAATAAAACACAAATAATCATTGTATAACTTATAGAGTTTGAAACTCATTTCGTGTACATCTAACGTTTTAGGAACGTGACAACAGCGTGAATGAGTTGAAGAAGGTAAAGGTGGAGCTAGATGCTTTAGGTACGGCAGCCAAGGAGGGAGTAGAGGCTGCTACTAAAGTCAAAAACTTGGAAAAAGAAAATAAAAAACTTGGAGAGGAAAACAAGACACTTACCGAGAACTACAACTCTGAGAGGGTGAGTAACCTGTACAGATCTTCACAGGTGATTTACGACGGTGTTTCTATCATCAATTATAATTTCATTGTTTATTTCATTTGTCTAGGTACTCAGGAGAAAGTATTACAACATAGTTGAGGACATGAAGGGGAAGATCCGAGTCTACTGTCGAGCCAGACCTTTAAGTGGGTCGGAAAAAGAAAGAGTAAGTAGAACATAGGTAAAGTGAAAGAGAATCTCCTGCCTATATTCCAAACTCTAAATTGCAACTTACCCCAAACATATACAAATTAATACAACTCCAGCTGTCCATACAATCCAGCACCCTGTATCTATGTAGTCATGTTGTTGTGGTGATGGAAACTGTTTAAAAACATTAAATCATAAGGATTAAGATCATTAATGTATTGAGAAACAAACAAAACAAAAAAAGAAAAAAAAAATGAAATTTATGGATTTAAAAAAAAAAACAACCAAGTTTTAGACTATCCTTTTCTTACTACAGGGTAATGTGTCTGTCCTCAAGTCTCCCGATGAATACTCCATCAGTGTGGACTCATCCCGTGGCACCAAGGAGTTCACTTTCGACCAAATCTTCATGGAGACCACACCACAGGAGAAGGTTTTCGAGGACACCAATGTACGTCAAATTTTATACAAAAATTAAATTACGATATCTCAAGAAATAAGATACAGAAGTTTTTCTGAAAACAATTTTAAACTTGGAAGTCTTGTTCTTTCATCAATGTAACTTATTGAATAACCTTTGCATTATTTGTCTGTTCATGTGTTTGAATCTGCATATGTTGTCAATCCTTAATAAGTTTTTAAATTGTGTTTCAATTTCTTTAGAAGTACTATGTGGATCTCTGTCAAATCTCATATATAAGTTCCAGACAGGAAGCCATCTTGAAATTTGGCAATGAAAGTTTGTTATTGCTATTTCTTGAGAAGGACTGGATCTTTCTGAAGTTTTATGTGTAGGTTCTCCAACCATGTTGTTGACAGATGATATCAAATGATAGACCTATGTTACCTGACAGTTGACATCAGGAGACAGACCTATGGAATTTTAAGAACTTGATCCCATCAGCATTAGATTGGTATAATGTGTGTATCTATTGTTTACAGAACTTGATCCAGTCAGCTGTCGATGTGTATAATGTATCTATTGTTTACAGAACTTGATCCAGTCAGCTGTTGATGTGTATAATGTGTGTATCTATTGTTTACAGAACTTGATCCAGTCAGCTGTTGATGGGTATAATGTATCTATTGTTTACAGAACTTGATCCAGTCAGCTGTTGATGGGTATAATGTGTGTATCTATTGTTTACAGAACTTGATCCAGTCAGCTGTTGATGTGTATAATGTATCTATTGTTTACAGAACTTGATCCAGTCAGCTGTTGATGTGTATAAAGTATCTATTGTTTACAGAACTTGATCCAGTCAGCTGTTGATGTGTATAATGTATCTATTGTTTACAGAACTTGATCCAGTCAGCTGTTGATGGGTATAATGTGTGTATCTTTGCCTATGGACAGACAGGTTCAGGTAAAACATACACTATGATTGGTGACAAGGAACAAAAATACCCAGGAATTGCACCCAGAGCATTTGAAAGAATCTTTGATTTGGCTCAAGAACTTCGGTGAGTTTTCAAATATCAAGTTTTCCCTGATCTTTGTACAGTTTCATTTATTTTTGCTGAAAACTTTTAAATATCAAGGCATGTTGTGTTGTCAATGTCCACAAATCATAAATACAAAACAAAATATATTTGGATTAACTTATCACCTAGATTTATTGATGAAATAAATTACCAGATACCGCTGCCTAACAGGGCTGAAAATTGAGTGACAAAAACATTTCTCAAATGAAGAAGCATATAATTTGGTGTCAGTATATAAAAGTTTAATCACAGCACTAATTTGAAGATTAGTCACTAATATATCATGCTGAAGAATACTGGTACTGTTGATACATTTATTATAAACACCATGCTGAGAGGGTTTTATTGCTTTATCAAATTTATATGACAGAGTCCACTTTGATATAGTTTCTAACAGAGTACATTTATTATAAACACCATTCTGAGAGGGTTTTATTGCTTTATCAAATCTATATGACAGAGTCCACTTTGATATAGTTTCTAACGGAGTACTTTTATTATAAACACCATTCTGAGAGGGTTTTATTGCTTTATCAAATCTATATGACAGAGTCCACTTTGATATAGTCTATAACAGAGTACATTTATTATAAACACCATTCTGAGAGGGTTTTATTGCTTTATCAAATCTATATGACAGAGTCCACTTTGATATAGTCTATAACAGAGTACATTTATTATAAACACCATTCTGAGAGGGTTTTATTGCTTTATCAAATCTATATGACAGAGTCCACTTTGATATAGTCTATAACAGAGTATCTAATACTGTTGATACAGAACCAAGTTCACCATCACTGTGACAGCCTACATGATGGAGCTGTATAATGACAAACTCATTGACTTGTTCGCCAAGCCTGGGACATCAGATGATGTAAGTATCTCACAACACATTAAATTCATTAACATGTGCTCTTCTGTTGTCTGTTAGTTTACTGGGTTTATCACCCAATGAAAAGCAATGGTTATTTTTAGATGGCGTCTACTTGTAGTAGCTGTTGACAAACTCACTGAACAGCATGCTATTCAAATCAGATAGAGTGATGTGTTTTGCCCAAAAGCACTGGCTGGTCAGTGATCTCATCTTCCTTAAACACAGTTATGAGTACAGAATCACTCACATATCTGGTATTTGACCGATAAATTGAGCAAGACCCATGTATCTGTTACACAGTCCTGTAACAAGAAATGTCAGCTATAGGAATTACTGTCTGAGTGACAGAACACAGGTCTTACTATGGAAGGAAGTCTCAGGAAAACAAATCCTAGTTACCGAGGTGAAAAAGGAGCTCAATATCCATGGCAACACTCATCCACCCAAAGTCTTTTATCACCTTTATTTAAATGCAGTGTGATGTTTTTGTCATGAAAAAGATTAATGGTATTATCAAGTATTTTGAAATGATCAGATGGAATAGAACGATATATAAACAGAATTAGAGCACATTTTTATGTTTGTATGACAGAATCAGATAGTATCAATAACAGTTCATGAATGACCTTTACTTTTGGATTTCAGGATAGGATGGAGATTAAGAAGGACAAGAAGGGCATGGTTTTTGTACAGGGATCGTGTGTTAAAGCAGCAAATAATGCCAAAGAACTTGGTGCTCTATTTGATGAGGGCAGCAAGAACAGACATACTGCCTCTACAAGTAAGTACTGATGAGGGCAGCAAGAACAGACATATGGCCTCTACAAGTAAGTAATGATGAGGGCAGCAAGAACAGACATACTGCCTCTACAAGTAAGTAATGATGAGGGCAGCAAGAATAGACATACTGCCTCTACAAGTAAGTAATGATGAGGACAACAAGAACAGACATACTGCCTTTACAAGTAAGTAATGATGAGGGCAGCAAGAATAGACATACAGCCTCTACAAGTAAGTACTGATGAGGGCAGCAAGAACAGACATACTGCCTCTACAAGTAAGTAATGATGAGGGCAGCAAGAACAGACATACTGCCTCTACAAGTAAGTACTGATGAGGGCAGCAAGAACAGACATACTGCCTCTACAAGTAAGTACTGATGAGGGCAGCAAGAACAGACATACTGCCTCTACAAGTAAGTAATGATGAGGGCAGCAAGAATAGACATACTGCCTCTACAAGTAAGTAATGATGAGGGCAGCAAGAATAGACATACTGCCTCTACAAGTAAGTAATGATGAGGGCAGCAAGAATAGACATACTGCCTCTACAAGTAAGTAATGATGAGGGCAGCAAGAATAGACATACTGCCTCTACAAGTAAGTACTGATGAGGGCAGCAAGAACATGAGGGCAGCAAGAACAGACATACGGCCTCTACAAGTAAGTACTGATGAGGGCAGCAAGAACAGACATACTACCTCTACAAGTAAGTACTGATGAGGGCAGCAAGAACAGACATACTGCCTCTACAAGTAAGTACTGATGAGGGCAGCAAGAACAGACATACTGCCTCTACAAGTAAGTACTGATGAGGGCAGCAAGAACAGACATATGGCCTCTACAAGTAAGTAATGAAGCTTTGGCTTTTCATCCCTCTGATTAAGACAATTTCATATTTAGGTACTAGTTACTGTGGTTTGATTGATCAAGTTTCTTCTGTAGTGTAGCTTGTTTCATCAAAATTAGCTGTTTTATAGAACAGAATACAGTAAACAAGCATATTTTAGCAGTAATCTATGCCTTTTTGGCACTGAAAGTATTGAACTAAAATATATTTACATTGATGTAGTTTTTTCGTGGTTGTTTTTATTTAGCAATTATTTTGGATTCACAAACTCATCATCAGACTATGTTGCTGAAAAGTGTGTGAAAATATGATCACACCAAATTAAGTATAATTTAGGCACACAGAATAGTGAGAAAATAGATGTCCTATATACTTAGTTCAAACCCAAAGATAACATTATAGGGGAACAGGTTAATGAGTGTATTAGAATGTCCTTTATTGTTTGGTGTTAATTCTCTTTAACAGAGATGAATGACGAGAGTTCTCGTTCCCATCTGATTATTGGGATTATGATGGAGAGTACCAACAAGGCTACAGGACAGGTCCTCAAAGGAAAGGTAAGCATCCGTGCAGGCTGGGAATAGTTATCAGTAACACATTGATTAAATTCAAAATGGTTACGGGCATGATTTAACATTGGAGAATGTTGGATAGATTATACTTGATAAAAGGGTATGAGTACAGTGTATTAGGTTTGATTTTTTATTGATTGATATTGTGATTGCCTTTCCAGCGGCGTCCATCGTACGTCGTCCATCGTAAACATTTTCAACTTCTTCTCAAGTTCTACATGTCTCATTGAGCTGAAACTTATCTGAAATGATCGTGACATGATCCTGACCAAAGTTTGTTAATTTTGGGTTGGTCCGAAATCCAACATGGCCGCCATCTTGAAAACACATTTTCGACTTCTTCTCAAGTTCAAAATTTGAAATCTTGTGTTTTATGTCAGATGACCGTTAAGGCCCATGGGCTTCTTGTATGAAGTAACTGGTGCGTTGTGTTATGTCTTACGGTCATGCTATAAACATAAATACCATATAGAAATGTGTGTAATAACACTTTTGTGATGTCATAAGTCATGTTTGATGACATCACATGGTTTTCTTGATAATGAGAATCATACTATCCATATCAAAGTATGTCTGTCTTAAAGGCAAATGGCAAGAGTAAATGCTTACTTTAAGGATTACAGTTTATATGAAAAATAGAATCTTATACTTGTGTTGATATTATATGGAATAGATTGTTTGATATGTCACATATCAAATTATTGAACTTGTTTGATGAATTAATATTACATTGTGACTTGTGTAGGATATAATGACGACGTTAGAATACACAGCTCACCACATCTATTTTTATAACATGGCGTATCAGGGTTTGTAGAATCATTATCACCACATCTATTTTTATAACATGGCGTATCATGTTTGTAGAATCATTATCACCACATCTATTTTTATAACATAGCGTATCAGGGTTTGTAGAATCATTATCACCACATCTATTTTTATAACATAGCGTATCATGTTTGTAGAATCATTATCACCACATCTATTTTTATAACACAGCGTATCAGGGTTTGTAGAATCATTATTACCACATCTATTTTTATAACACGGCGTATCAGGGTTTGTAGAATCATAATCACCACATCTATTTTTATAACATGGCGTATCAGGGTTTGTAGAATCATTATCACCACATCTATTCTTAATATTCTGCTTCAGAATTTCATGTTTTTATGACTTTGAGAAATGTTCCATGTTCTTTATGTTATAGCTCAGTCTGGTGGATTTGGCTGGTAGTGAGCGTGTGGCTAAGACTGGGGCTGGAGCAGAACAGCTGAAAGTAAGACACTGATCAGAAACACCCATTTTTTAACAGCCTCATTGGTGCCTTAATATTGTGATAATTCTGGGATTATAATGATTTTTAAATTGAAGTAATAAGTAAACTTTTTACACTGAGAAATGTTTATTCTTTTAGAACCCGTGTAGAGTGTGTCAATTAGGGTTCATGCACTTTTAATTTAAGCTTTTCACAAAACGGAATCCTAATGAATTATATAACACTTATGTGACAGAAAATTTTAACACCTTTCATTCCTAATATAGAAATTGTGATCATGTCATGTTGTAAAGATGTGGACTGGAATAGGTCTACATACTACTTGTGGTACATGCTTTATATAGTGTTTTGGTGTTTTAGGAAGCTATGTCCATCAACAAGTCCTTGTCTGCTCTGGGAGATGTGATTTCTGCACTGAGTAGTGACCAGCAGTTCATTCCCTACAGAAACAATAAACTCACCATGTTGATGCAGGATTCATTGGGAGGCAACGCTAAGACTCTTATGTTTGTCAACATCTCCCCTGCAGACTATAACCAGGATGAAACCATTATATCTCTGATGTAAGAATTTTTTTCCCCTCACGCAGCCTATTTATACCTTTCCCTACCATGCCGATTTCTATATTCAGCCATCTTCCCTGGGTAACCCCATCCAGCCCCCTCCTTCATTGTCCTGTCTCTGCCCCTTCATCCCTCTTTCTTATACAACCCTCTTCCATAATCATGTGCTCTCCATGATCCAACCATTTCTGCCCATCCATTCTTCATTCTCATCCTCATATGGCCCTTCTCCTAATCCAGCCCTTATTCTAATCCAGCCCCCTCCCACAATGTTGTTTCTCCCCATCCAGTTCCCTCCTCCATTCAGTCATCTCTGCCCATCCAGCCCCTTCTCAATCAGCCTGTCTGCCAATCCAGCTGTCTTTCCCCTTAAAATTCTTTCCTCCATCCAGCTCTCTTCTCCCATGAAAGCCCTTTCTGTGATCCCACCCCCAACCTCTTTTCACCCTATCCACCTCTCTCCCATCCAACCATCCCTACCCATTCTACCCATTCCCCACCATCCAGTGTTCTGCTCAGTTCAGCTTCTCCTCATTCCATCATATCCTTCATTACAAAAATAAAAATGTCTTTCATTTTTAGCTTTTCAAAGTCTCCCCTAATCCTTCCCCTTATCTGCCTTCTCACATCTTCCTTCCCTCCAGTCCACACAGATAACATTTACAAATATTTGTTACTACAATAGGTATGCCTCCAGAGTCAAGCTGATCACTAATGATGCATCCAAGAATGCTGACAACAAAGAAATTGCCAAGCTGAAGAATGTAAGTTCCCAGATATATCATTAAGTTTTCTGTATATTGTGTAGTTGGTTCATTGCTGTATGAAGATTCATATTGTATGGTTGGTTCATGTATCTATGGTTACACTGTATTTATAGTTACACCTTATTTCCTGTTTGTTTTAGATCATTGCCAAGCTGAAGAAGGGAGAAAGTGTGGATGACATGGAATAAACATCTCCGCTATAATGTTTATAATAGATTGTCGTAGATACTTTACGAAAATATGTTATGATGCACTTTCTTACATGTCTGCTGTAATAATCTTCAGATATTGGAAATACAAGAGAATTGAAATAACACTATGTCTGACATTCATTTTAAAATTAAGTTACAGGATTAAAGCTGAAACACTAAAACACAGGCAGGAATTAGTAAGACTTGACATTCTTATACAAAGAGACTGCCATATGTTACAGAATCTGATGTCTACAGCAGATCTATCGACTCTTTGTCTATGTTTTAATCTCAAGCATAGAAAATATCATTGCTTTTATTGCCTACTAGAACTGGCTAATAATTACACACAATTAAAAGGAAATTCACTGTCTTCTTGTTATTCCAGATATATTACATATTTGAAGTGCATTTTTCCTATCATATTAAGGCTTTGTAACTTGGAAAAATATGTTGATGGTTGATTTCTTCCATATCAAAAGGAGTTTATTTTCAAATCAACAAATCCATTATTTATCTGTTGAAATGAAATGTTTTTATAAAGTTATGATGAAGGTTTGTGATAACTTGTTAATATATCATTACTGTAGTAAATTTTAGTATTTTGAAACTATACATCTGTTAACATTCCATCCTGTATACTTTTGAGATTTATAGATAGCTCATGTAAAGTTTGATAATCGATCACAACATGAAATCTTGATAATGATTATATCTACAGACCACACCCACTTGAGTGAAATATCAATTTTGTCACTCGCAAGTACATATGTACAGAAAAGTGAAGTGAAATATAAGTAGTCTACTATTTATTTGTTGTTTAACGTTTTACTAATTAACCAGTATTTGTTGTATTTTATTTAATCATAATATCGGGATTTTGTTCATCATAAGATGATGCAGTAGTAAAATCGCTCTAGTTTTTTTATCTCATATTTTTTTCTTGATTGGAAGGTTTTGATAATGACTTGTGATAAAGTGATCACATTTTGCTGTGAAGTACACAGAATGTAACATTTTTACAGAATGAGTAGATTTTAAAATAAAATATCCTTACACATACAATTTACATATCAATGGAAGATGGATATGTTTCTGTTTGGTCAGTGACTTGTTAGGAAATGAGCTGGATGTTTCAATCACGGTTTACAAATTAGTTTTCTATAAAGTATACAAGAAAATTATATGCATATAAATTGTGTATTAATATCAAGAATGGCTTTGATGATAATAAGTGAGGGAAAAATCATGCAAATTTTTGTGTTGTTATAACTTATGTATTCAATTTGTATTTTTAATATCTGTGTCTGATTTTAATAACATTATTGGAAATCATTATATTCCTATTTACCTGAAGGCTGGTCCTTATCAATGATGTAATACATTTACATCTTGTATTGAAGTAAAAGTTTATAATTATTTTGTAGTATATTGTACTCTCAACTCTTCTAGCTCCAGAACTTATAGATGATAACTTTTGGTGTTTAAAATGACTACATTGTATTGAAGAAAAAAGAAATTGAAAAAAATCAAATTGATGTAATGCTTTATAACTCTAAACTAAACGACAATAAGGATTGGTGATCTGAAGACAAGAAGAGTTGATAAATTACTTCCGTCCTTCGCTATGTATCCGTCCACTGAGTGACCCACTGCCGGACAAGTGGTCATGTGATAACTTGTAGATGTAGATTTTCATTTTATCTAATAAAGTGCAATCTCTTAAGTGTTGCTTTTTGTTCTTTTTTAACACACAAGGCACAAAAAACTCTGCCATTGGATTGATCGTCAAAGAGGGAAATTAAGTTGACTACATTTTGTCAAGAAATATCCCCAGTTGTCCTGCTTGTGTATATTACATTTTAGAATGAATAAGATATACTGTTCTCAAAAAGTCAGTCGTCTTAGATTTTGAAAGATAAGTATGTTGTGCTGTTTCTCAGAAATCTTGAAAGAATCATACATTTTACAGTTAAGTTGCCTGTGATTTCTGGTTGTTAAAATTACATTTTGGACTTGATAAGACACCAATATGTCCATAATGAACTTTGACTGTAAGTTTGTGAACGTTGTAAATGTTTGTGTTGTGATTGCACCTCTCTGTTCATTTTCCATTAGTTGATGCAAGTTTAAACGTTTCTCGTCTTTTCTGCTGTTTTTCGTTTTCTGTCATCATGACAATCATAGCAGTAGTAAATGAACCTCGGCAAAGCATGTTCACTGAGATTCTGGTTCTGTGTTCTGAATAGCCCTTGTACAAGTGCCTGTTATAAATTTGAATCAAACTGATGTAGAGGTCATGACCCTGATATTGACCTATCAGTCTCATATATACACCTGAAGCCAAAGACCATTTGTAACTTATTTGTGTAGAATGCAAACTGGGGCCTTTTGGAATCTTTCTTCCACAAACCATCTAAAAGACCGTTTCATTCTTTAACATCCATTGGTTTGAACAATGAGAAACAGCATACAAAACATATTCTTCCTCAAAACACAAACTGGCTGTCTGTTTGCAATTTTTTTTCCACCCAAAATGTATAAATGGAAACTTGAATATTTCAGAGGAATTTCACCAGAATTTTTCAGAAAGTAGAAACATTCCCAGTATACTTTTTGTAAACGTGCATGCACAACATTACAAAGGATTATGGGGAACATTTCATATGAATCTGATAAAATCTCTCAGAACTTTTCTGGGATACACAAACATTTACAACGTTCACAAACTTACAGTCAAAGTTCATTATGGACATATTGGTGTCTTATCAACTCTCTGTTCATATGTCTTAATCATATGCAATCACCCTGCATACTTGAAGGTATCCACACCTAGACGACAAACCCGATACTTCCACACGAAGAACCTAGGCGTTGGCTCCTCTCTTTCTTTTTATTTAACTAATGGAAAAAATATGACAGTGAGCACCAACACCTCTCTGGATTTTTTTTTGTTTTATTGCTATATAAAAAAAAACCAATAAAATTCTATGTTTTAAAAACTTTATTGAAAATAAAATCTTCTGGTTACACACAGTGAAATATTTCTAACAAGAACTCGTACAAATTTCCTTATTGGGTTGTCACATACTCATACAATTGTTTGTTACAAACACACATTCAAAATTTTTAATCAATTAAAAAAATATATAGGCAAAAATCAATATATTACCAAAAAATATTTATACAATTATCCATTGTCTTCTCATCCATTCACACTGATCTTAGTCTCCCATTAAAGAGCTTAAAATGACAACTACAATGTACTAATCCCAAGGAAACAGAAACTGTTATAACATCTTTGTTTATATTTTCAGGCCATCAACATGTATCCAACATGAACAACATTGTCGTAGTTTTGTCATTGCTAATTAATCAATTCTTTTGGAAAACCAGGATTTCAATATCATGATTTGGTTATCAAACAAAGAATGAGAAATAACTTTGTCCAAGTATATATTGTCAGTGTTAAATATCTCTGAACACCAGGATTTCAATGTAAGATTAATGTATCAAACAAACATTAAGGAAAATAAGGAATGAATCCGACACTTCATCAGCATAATGTGTAACAATTGAACCATCTTTTTCTGATAGAAATCAATCATACTGTTGCTTTGTGTTTCTCTCTGTTTTCATGCATTTTCTCAATCTTCTTATAATCTTGTCATTATGCATCCAATTAATGCTGCAACGCAAACTTACACCCACGCAAGTACAATATACCTGGAGTGTAGTTTACAAACCTGCATCAGTATAACAAGTCTGAGATGTATTTACAGCCAGGAGAAACAGTGACATCACTGATGGTACTTAAAATGTCATAGTGTTATTAATGAGTCTGACATATTACTGCCATGCTGTTATTACAGGAGAAACAGTGACATCACTGATGGTACTTAACATGTCATACTGTTATTACTGAGTCAGGAGAAACAGTGACATCACTGATGGTACTTAACATGCCATGCTGTTATTACTGAGCCAGGAGAAACAGTGACATCACTGATGGTACTTAACATGCCATACTGTTATTACTGAGCCAGGAGAAACAGTGACATCACTGATGGTACTTAACATGCCATACTGTTATTACTGAGTCATGAGAAACAGTGACATCACTGATGGTACTTAACATGTCATACTGTTATCACTGAGTCAGGAGAAACAGTGACATCACTGATGGTACTTAACATGCCATGCTGTTATTACTGAGCCAGGAGAAACAGTGACATACTGATGGTACTTAACATCCCATTCTGTTATAAGATTTGAGTTACTGACATGTAAGAACTACATATTTAAAACAGAGAAGGTATCATCGTTATATCAAAATTCATGTTTTTTTAGATGATCTAAATAGTCCTGACAAGTTAAAACCTAAAACAAACAAAATATGTTACACAATCATGGCACTTGAATGTACAGTAGATTACCTGTATTTCAAGTGATTTTATTTGCTATCTTATTAACCTTGGTTGTGAGATCTCATTTTTAAGTGTATAATACATTTACACTTTAATCTGTTACTTAACTCTTACAGGTATGAATACAGAAATAAATATCACTTGAAATACACCAATCTACATTGTACAGCTCCATTTACCTGTAAAACAAGTCAACTGACAATCTACAAATAAATGATAGGTGATATTGCTAATAAAAACAGCCTGACTTGTTTGAAAAAAACCAACTGGGTTGATCTCCCCATGGCAGTGTATATGTGTCTTGGATTAGACAAAGTTTGTACAGTTAGACAGAAAAAAAAGTAGGAATACAACCAGTTAATTGTCCTCTCAATCTTTACCAAAGGAAGTATATAGATCTATAGTGTGGAATGTATCCCTTCTCTATCATAGTATTAGACTCTATCTCATTCATCATTATATACACAATGTAACAATTTCCTTTGGAAGAAGTCTACAACTAAACAGCCTATATATTTAATTCTAATATATAGAATATAAAATCCCCCAAAAATATACAACTACTAGCTGGAAGCTCAGAACTAAAGTAACTAAAACCTTGGTAATTAATATTAACTACCATTAAACTCTAACTTAGATTTCAGGTTTTCTGTATCCTCATCTAGATGGATAAACAGAAGTAAACCAGCCATATCTGACTTTAAGTCACTAATTGTAAGTAAAAATTCCTGATCATTCAAACTTTAAAAATCCACTTAAGAAAGCATAGCTTCAAACATGAAATTTTAAGGTAAATTGTAAGTTTATCAAAAGGTTAATAAATGCATTTTTCTAAGAGGTCATTGTTCATTCCAATGCCTTGGCTTGGATAAAAACCTAACACCTCAAGCTCAGTAAAGAGAAGTTCTGTCTAGCTGAGTGGTATATTGCGGCTACTATCTACTAGAGTTACAAAATCTTCCTCCAGGAAATATCTTGTCCTCCAATTTCCAGGGGTTACAGTGTTATTCCCGAGTCCCTACATGGAGGTCAGTGTAACAGAGGTCATTATTTATTACAATGTCTCTGTTAGGATTCAAACCTGTGACCTCACGCTGACTAGTCTGATGCTCAACTGATCCAGCTAAAGAGAAGTTCTTTCTAGACAAGTAATATATTGCTAACCAGGATTTCACTTCCAATTGAGAAGACTCTTAGATCTCCCCCACCCCCTGATCCCTAAAAATAAGAAGTAAAAAGAAGATTGCAGCTATGCCTTAATCTGTGCTGAACCCACTATTCAGTCTGGCAGGGTTACAAAGTGCTGTAGTGTTGCTTTAAGAGAGCTGACTATAGAGGTCTGACACTTCCTGAACATCCTCTTTAGAACCCATAAAGACAGGACATCTCTGGTGAATAGAAGTCGGCTGTATATCCAGGATTCTCTCTTTTCCAGTAATGGCCATGCCTCCGGCTTGCTCTATGATAAATGCCATCGGATTGCTCTCGTAAAGCAGACGCAGCTGGACAACAGAAAATAAGACTAAGCATCAGACAAAAGGGTATTTATATAGTTTATAATACATGTACCATATTTATCTGACAATAAGGCAATACCTGGTAATAAGCTGATCCCATACATAACTATTGTATTTATCTGACAATAAGCCAATACCTGGTAATAAGCTGATCCCATACATAACTATTGTATTTATCTGACAATAAGCCAATGTCTGGTAATAAGCTGATCCCATACATAACTATTGTATTTATCTGACAATAAGACAATACCTGGTAATAAGCTGATCCCATACATAACTATCGTATTTATCTGACAATAAGCCAATGTCTGGTAATAAGCTGATCCCATACATAACTATTGTATTTATCTGACAATAAGCCAATGTCTGGTAATAAGCTGATCCCATACATAACTATCGTATTTATCTGACAATAAGACAATACCTGGTAATAAGCTGATCCCATACATAACTATCGTATTTATCTGACAATAAGCCAATGTCTGGTAATAAGCTGATCCCATACATAACTATTGTATTTATCTGACAATAAGCCGATGTCTGGTAATAAGCTGATCCCATACATAACTATTGTATTTATCTGACAATAAGCCGATGTCTGGTAATAAGCTGATCCCATACATAACTATCGTATTTATCTGACAATAAGCCAATGTCTGGTAATAAGCTGATCCCATACATAACTATTGTATTTATCTGACAATAAGCCGATGTCTGGTAATAAGCTGATCCCATACATAACTATCGTATTTATCTGACAATAAGCCAATGTCTGGTAATAAGCTGATCCCATACATAACTATCGTATTTATCTGACAATAAGCCAATGTCTGGTAATAAGCTGATCCCATACATAACTATTGTATTTATCTGACATAACCCATGTCTGGTAATAACACAACTTATAAATATTTGTGTTCAGTAAAGATAAAAAGATTCTTATTTCATTGTCTCATAATAAGCCTAAATCCTAAATTTTTAGTAACAAGTGTTAAGACATTGGACATATTGTATATACAATAGTATATCACATACAAGCAGTAATCCGCCTGTTATCCACTGTATTCCCCCTTGTAATATTTAAGTGTAGATGTCACTAGTGTAACACATCCTGCACCAGTGAAAAATTAATTGAGATATCATAATGATAATATGGACAATAAGGTTATGTCATAACTTGAAAATGGTACAGTAAAAAGGTGCTGCCTCTATTTTACTTTGTCCTTCACATTTTTACTTTAAAAATGTGTCAAAATGCAACTCTCACCAAGGCTCGCAAAAATAAAGACTTACAAGGCAGTGGTTTTATGAGTATGATAAATATAAGTAATGGTACTGATGTCACAATGATATACATGGAGGGTTATATGAGGTATGCATCTGGCATTAGGTCAATAAATTATATAATTAATGCCTTGTAGATATACAATATGTGACTGGTAAAATAAGTCCTATAATAGTCTGTTCAATTATTCAGTCCTGTACTGTCACAATTATGTGAATTTTCTGCACCCTAGAACATGAACATCTACTTTGCAGTACACACTAAATGAAAGAAAGAAACATAACTTGACACATATATATGTTCTATATGTCATTATTAAAACTGAAGGAATTGTTTAAATTGGTAAAACCATCAACATCAACTCTCACCTTTCCCTTGGGAGACTCAGAGGTGGCTGGATACATGAATATTCCACCGTACACCAATGTTCTGTGAACATCTGCTACCATAGATCCTATGTACCGAGCTCCATATGGTTTACCAGTCTATAACATTGAAAATATTTCACTTTCTGTATAAGATGATATGTGTTTTGTCTCAAATTTAACATGTTGTTGATGATATCTCTGGTTTATATATTAATTGGAAACCGACAAAAGGAGAAATATAACGACTCCAATACACGAAGAAAATCTAAACCTTGGAATAATATAAAAGCACTAAAGTTCAGTACATGTAAAAGACTATATATTTCTGCCAGGTTGAGATATCTCTTTCTACATTACACAGAGGTGACCGATTCTAAATCAATATTCATGACAGTACAATTCTTATCAGACGTGAAACATGTTCCCCAAGTATGCTACTTTCATAACTAACTTGTTTAGCAATGCTATGAGTGAAATGACACAACTCTGCCAAAAGCTAGCATGAGGCCAATCAGTGATCAAAACTATTAATCGATCTGCATGATTTCTCATGTAAGTTTATCTCACCTCTGGGTACTTCTTCCGCTTGACATACTCTGCTGTAGGCTCGTCCCAAAACTTGGCATAACCTTCATTAATGGAGAAGATTTTTCCTCTGGGCTTGATTGTGATGTTAGGATTGGTAAGAATGAACTCCCCAATAGCCTGTGGTAATAAATACAGGTAATTAATGTCTGATCCCTCTCACGTCTATAGTACAATATACATTGTACAACATTTGGGGGTGCTTTGGTAATACACTCACCTTTGACTCAGACGTTAGGGTGTCAATACCCAAAACAGGTGAGCGAAGGTATGAGGTTATCTACGAGACTATGTAGGTATTCCTAGAATGTAATAACATGTTTTGCAATGGTTGTATAAAAAAAGTTAAACTGAAGGCTGGAGGGGTTCATGAGATATCTTCTACACAAGTTTTTTTAAATTTCAAAAGTGGTCAGGTGTGACCTCTGACCTTTAACCTTGACTATCAAAATCTAAGGTGGTTTATAATTTAACAGTATGGTAATTTGGTATGATGCTATTGTGTGAATAAAAAAATAATTTTGTCCTGGGGTTCAAGAGATATCTCGAGTACATTTAAGTAAATATTTGTATGCATGAACACATGTACCTAAAACAGGCAAAGTGATTAACATAACTAAGTTTGAAGGGGATGGGGTATTAATCATAAGTGACATTGTGTACAAGATACACCCTGGAAACCGATATACTTACAGGATCCAACATAAAGCCGTTGACACAGTCATTTCCTATTGAGAGTACAATCATGGTGGCACTACCATAAAGTGCATAACCCGCGGCAACAAGTTGATTTCCCGGTTGTAGAGCATCAGCCTCCGTTACAGGAGAGTCATCCGTCTGTAATTAAGTAAACAACTTACAAATACATCCTGATGTTTTATAAATCTGTAATATTTCCACACAACATAAGGAATACAAATGAGTGACTTTTAAATATTAAATGACCTACTTTCTGTAATATTAGGTATTGTGTTTCAAACAACTACAACTTTTAATTTAATCTTGCTAATACCCCTACTTTGAAGCTTGTGACAAAAATTTTCCCCAAAAAATTCATTATTTGATATATTGAATGATAATAATATACTATTGCTATAAATAAATCAAGCTCATTAACTCTATTCAAAAGTAACCACTAACATAAAAGGATTGCATTGAAACATATTCAACAAACTATACCATAAGAAAGGGCAATAACTCTTTGTAATGCGTCTAATTGGACTGTCACTTTTAGAAAACACAATACACTGTAATATACCAGTAATTGCATAATAAAGCCTACTAAGTTTAAAATAACACACTTGATAGCTTGGATAGGATGGACACTGCAATACCATTTTAAAACTCTCGGAAATTGTTTATGGGCACTTCTATATATACAAATAATATATGTACAAGTTATAATCACAGGCATTGACTCATTTCAACTAATTTCTATTTTCATAGCTTGAGTAAGATCTTGTCTACATACAGGAATTTAAAACAAGATACCTGTGTCAGTAATTCATAATTATGAAACGATGTGTTTGCATTTCCAAGGCAGCATTTTTCTTTAAGTAATGTATTAATAATAAAGCAGTGCGACTAGGTATGAAATTGTAATTTTTTTATTACTAAATTTGTTTTCCTATTACAACAATATAAAATAGCTAATGCTTTACTAAGCAGAAATTTTTCCAGTTGAAACTGATGTACATGATATTAAGGAATAAAAACTTTCTTACATAAATATATTTAAGAAATGTATTAAAAAGCCATGTGGAGTTTGAAAAATCGATACCTTGGCAATAAATTACAAAATTAACCATTGTCTAGTTAAGAGAACCGTTGATTTTTTTCCTTAGTTTTCTGTGTCAGAGGAAAGTAAATCAATGAATAATTTGAAAAAAAAATATACAACCACCCTCCCACCCCCTCAAAAAAAAATACTTAAGATTTTTTTCATAAATTTGCCAATGATAGACATACTATTTCAAATGGAAGGTAATGTTGCGTATTTATAGTTACTTGGGTATGAAGAGATACCATGTAACTTTGAAACTAGTCCAATAAGGCCTTTCATTTTGTTGTTATTTCTCTCACACACCTGTGAAACATCCAACTGTATCTACTAGAATATGTAAATGGCAACCTTTTTAACTATTTCAAAGAGCAATTTGATAAGCTTCATCACGGCAAAAGGGCACGTCTTCACAAATCAACTGTACAAAACACATATTTAAAACAAACACATAAAAACAGCTGAATGATACAAAGCTTCATGCTCAAATGTACAGCACTATTTTTTTGACTGCAAAATGTTTTTTATTTTTCACTGAAAAATAGTTTAGATATATGTATAACATTAAACTATCAGAGATCTTCATGTATACCATTTAAAAAAACAGGCATTAAAATGGTGGTTATAACATCATGCTTCTGGAACTGCAGCCAATGATATCTTTGTATGTATAGAGATCAACACAAATGAACTTAAAGCTGAGAAAGTGCTGGTAGAAATGTTTAGTACAGTGAAACTTTGATCCTATGACACTATGCTGAAGACACAACAAAGGTCCTGCAGATGAATGTGTCACAATATCCTACAGACCGATGTGTCACAATGTCCTACAGATCAATGTGTCATGATGTCCTACAGACCAATGTACCACAATGTCCTACAGACAACTGTGTCATAATGTCCTACAGGCCAATGTGTCACAATGTCCCACAGATCAATGGGTCACAATGTCCCACAGATCAATGGGTCACAATGTACGAGTCAGAAATCAGATGACCTCATTGTGATATGCAGATCTCTGATTAGAAAAGTTTCACTGTATTAAGACAGTATGTATGGAGGGATATACACTCAAGGAATTGTTCCACGTGGAGCACTTACGTCAGATCTTATCTGAAAATATGAGTATACATGTACACCTTCAAAAGTGTGCACTTTAGCATGATAATTAAGTTTTCACTTTTTCCTTTTAAAAAGAATTTTACTAACTTTTATGTGCGAGTATACACCCACACAAAGACATAACAGATTGATAACAAGTATTTGAAAATAAAGAAATGTTAATCTACTAAAGCATGCAACATTGTATGTATTTTACACACAAGGGGACCTGGTTGTCTATATTGTATCATATTTCTGAGGTACTTAAACTCCGATCCACCATAAAAACAAATAACCTACCTATGAGTGAACACATCGAGATATAAACAGGTACATTTTATGAAATCAGGCCATATTTTAGTAGTAGAGCATGAAACACTAAGTAAAGATACTATACCTTCTTGTAAATGGAGAAAATAGATCCAATGGACACTAAACAGTCGATGTTGGATGACCCATCCAAGGGGTCAAAGGCCACAATGTACTTCCCCTGGAAACAGAAAACGAGTGAATTGATCCTTTACCTTAATGTGTACTAACTTAAATTACAATTATTTATCTCAAAACACTGTAGACAATATATATTCACCATAATCTGGGACAACATCGACCTAAAACCTTTGTTTACAATAAAGAAAATTTACAAACTAATTGTAGATATAATCAAATCCCATTCAACATAACACTGGATAAATCACAGTACAAACTTGTATTCCCATCCTCTATAACTATAATACTAGGTATTTGAACAATGACCATGATCTTCTGCCTTTCAAAACCTTAAGTCTTTATATCAAATCATTAATTAAGATGCAATTAGTTAATCATCAGAAATACGGATAAGTTGATAAAGTCAGTGAGAAAATAGATCTACATTGCATTTCTGTAAAACACAATAACTGTCTGTGTCTTACAAATTTGGTCAAATGTTACTGTGAATGACGATTATATTACAGTCAGTGGTCAGGAGAATTAGCTTTCATCGTACAAATGTACTATTATCATCTCGCTACATATACATCATATACATAGTACTATCACATAGAAGGAAAAAGAAATTTCCGTAAGGAACTAAACAGGGTCTGTCATTAATCAGGATAACCACTATAGACATGCATCGCTGGCTGTGTATAAGTTTCACAGCTGGCCTTGCTTCAGTGGAGATTTGGGTAGAAGTTACATAGGAATGTTAAGTTCCTCTGATAGTGACATGAAGTAATTACCTGTGAATTTTTGTCCTAGGCAGTTTTATTAAGATAGCAACGTGGAACTATTGGGAGCAATAACACACCAATAACAAAGCTACAACATTATAGATATCTGTCTACCTCAGATCAGATGCTGAGGAGTCTATTCCTAATAAAGCTTTCATATGGTTCATGCTGGTGCTGTTTAAATAGTTAAGATATTTCAACCGAAAATCATACTCAGAAAGATTTAAGAAAAAACAAGAGCAATTTTTTCTGTGTGTTTTTCCCCCTAAATTCAAATTCTCTAAGCAAAACGTTATTGAAAAAAAAATGCACATTCAAAACTCTAAATCCACTGAAATACCTGAGTGAGTATACACTAAGTTAGCCTATGAGACTTATTCCAGGGCTCCTAAACACTAACAGTGCCTACTTCACTGGGGAAATAAAATATATCATTCTGTGTGTCAATCCATTCTTTATGTAACAGTTGTACCTGCTTTTCAGTTTCCACTATAATGGCCTTGTCATTCTCCTCTGACACCAGAAGACAGGTGAGGAATGAGGACTTCAGCATGTTGATAAATAAATCATTGGACAGGACATCAAGCTTTTTAACCTCATCTCCTGTGACATTGGTTGATCCTGATATTCCATATCTGAAATGACAAGAAGTATATGCGGAAATTGATAATGACTTTGTGTGCGATAGAAAATGTTGAATTGTATTTTGTACTTCGTATCATAAGGCACAGGAACAAGGAGGCAATATACATACAAATTAAATTATCAAGTTACTGTGAAAATATTCATGGGTCATAGGTCATCTGGGATGATGACCACGAGTCATTAAGGGTCATCAGTCCTGCTTTTATGGAATTAAATAAAATGTGAGTCTTGGTTTCTTGGCTCATGAGCAGGGATAGTGAACAAATGGTGTAACTCCATATGAATTTGAGAGCTTTGTGTGACTGAGAACCAGTGTGGTGACTCAAGACTGTAGACAAGGTCCACAGCTTTGTGTGACTCTGATAATCAGTGTGGTGACTCAAGAGAGTAAACACTGGCAAAAGCTTCATGTGACTCTGAGAATCAGTCTGGTGACTCAAGACAGTAAACAAGGGCCATAGCTTTGTGAGACTCTGAGAACCAGTGTGGTGACTGGAATTTTGGAACTCTGTGCAAAGCACAAATAAAAGGCAAGAGTACATGTCACCTCACTAGCCTTGGTGTTAGCCTTTAGCAGTTAGGCTTTTGTACATAGAGCAAGAGCCCACTGGTTGAGTCTCATCAAAGTGAGCTGAACAGATTTCATCAATCTTTCCTGATACAATATCCATCAAATTTAACTTTAACATTGATATCAGTTGATAAGAAATTATAATGTACAAAGAATTTGCTGAAATGATAATAGTATCGAGGGCTGGCAGTATGGGCAGTGCTGCTCCTCACAAGACTGGCTGTTCATTAATTGTAAATAAAGTAATTGTCACCAAAAATAGCCAAAGGTATGAAATACATACAAATCTTTGTTCAATCAGTGTGGTGCTTGTCAGTGTAGTGTGTGCTACTGATGACAATCTCATGTTTTGGGTTCAAATCATGGCCTTTTCTAAGTGAGCAACATGTTTATAGTAAGTCAACTTCACTATAGATCACCAAAATTTACATTGTCTCATGCATTATTACTCTACAACTGGTAGAATTGAAGTCGTAGTTTAGAGTAAATTTTACCTTACAGGTTAATTGAGAGAAAAATGTTTTATCTCTAGCTGAATTTATCTTCTGATAATACATTTTAAAATGAGGTCAACACTCATATTCGCCAGTCAGCATTACTTGCCAAGGAGGTCAACAATAGCTGAAGAAGACCTGGGAAGTGTGTGATTTCTTTTACTTGCATGTGAACAATTATCAAACTACATGTAGTTAGACTACTGAAAAAACCCCACAGATTTCACTGGTGTTTTTGTTTACTGATTAAATCAAACTTGCGGGATGTAGAATGAATATGCCTAGAATGATCACGATACAAATGGTAGAATCTAAAAGAATATAATATTCTTTATAATTTACCAATTAATCATTAGAACAGGAAGATGGCGACCATGCAAGTTCTTCCATGGGATATCAAGAATTTTTGGAGAGAGCATTCATACAGTTATAAATTACCTTGATGGGTACAACTTCAGATCTATATTCTCCCTTAATATCAATAATCTTAGACAAACTACGTGTTTAAAGATCAGTGTATATGACTCTGAAATACTTAAAGGTAAAACCACTTAAGTTAACATCCTGCAATCGCTTCTCTACACTTAACATGACCCATTTAATGCATGACTTGATAAAAGTTTAAATTTGAAAAATTATATAAAATACACCTGATCTGTTCAAATATATCCATATCTTACTAGATATACAACTTAAAAAGGAGTTATTCTGTCCCTGTAATGCCCCTCTCCAATTCATTTTGGTGAAAACAAGGACTTTTATTCAGTCAAGTAATTTCTCAAAAAAAAAAACGACATAGACTTGATATACATGGACAAGAATACAATTTTTTTTTTCCTTTTATGTCATTTACCTCATTCAAAATGTACAGCTGTTCTTATTTCGTAACATTTTCTTCTGGTTTGTAATGTCATAGGACAGAAGTTCTTATCACAAGCAGTAGAAGATTTGGATGTAACATTTTGATGCCTACAATGTCACTTTCATCAGACAAATGACCAGTGTGGAGTGTACTAGAACTGACGTATGTAGTGTACAAGATGGTAAGGAATCCAACCGACTTTTTCAGCGGCATTTTAATCCTTTGTACACTAAGGTAGAAAATAGTGTGATGAGAGTGTAAACAAGCTATAGAACTAAGAATACTTGAGATGGTAACAATGTACTGTAGACGATTCGGCTACCCTTTGTTTAACACTGGTCATAGATGTGCGAGAGTCTGTGGCCCATCTTGTCCCTGTAAAGTACTGGCATGCTGTGGCATATCCAGATGGCTTCCTTAACCAGCTACCTAAAAAGTTGTTTTTTTGCGTCAATGTTTATTTTTAATTTTCCCAGTCAATGATATGATTTTGCTGTGAATGTTTTTCTGGAGATTCTGTGTCTTTCTGATGTTCATTTACTTTGACCTTGAATCTTCAGCCTGTTTCTTCCACATATGATGTGTTGTAGTTTCAGCATCCAATTTTGTATACGCATTCTGCGACATTCCTTTGGGCGTTTTATCTTAGGATGGACTAGGATACTTCGGAGAAACTTGTATGGTTTCATGACTGTTACAATATCACAACCACAGTAAATCCTCTGAACGGTTTCTGACAAGCCTTTGATATAAGGACTGACTACTTGTCCTTTCATTTATTCTTCTCCGTGATGTTTCGTCTCTTGGTCTTTTTGCTTTTATAAAACTTATTGTTAATTTTCTGGGTATCCACATGTTTTCATGGCACTATGGATGTGATTTGTTTCTGATATTTGTTTTGTTCTTCTGTGACTATCGTTTCACATCTGTTGAGCAAGGTTCATATAACACTCAACTTCTGGTGTAAGGGGTGGTGTGATCAAGGTCGATCCGTACACGTCTTTTTCCTATGGACTAACACTTTGATAGTATTGTCATCTTTCTTTACTTGGAGGATGTCAAACAAATGGCCTAAACAATTGAATTTGCTGCTATTGATGGTGTCTATAGCATTGATATGCTCAGTCAAATACATTTTTTAACTATTTCCAATATGTCATCAACATACTGCTCCCACAGACTATACTTGCATTTTCCTGGGGCTGTGGCTACAGCCCCTTTCTCCAGGTACTTCATGAGTAAGTTGGCCACAATCGGGAGACAATGGACTGCCCATAGCTGTGCCGAACCATTATAGATGATATCTTGGAAGGAAAAGTATGTTGTTGCAAGCACAAATTCTAATAAATCCATGATGTCTTAGGAATGGAGATTGGTATTCTTTAGCCATGACTGGTCTTGCTCTCGGCAGCTCTGAATGATACCAACCTAGTGCTTTGCTAGTTGGTGAAAAGAAACACTACATTGTGTGAAATGAATTCCTGATCCCTTTGGATAAGCACTGTGGACATACATGAACTTTCTGCAAAATATTTCAAATTTTTGACAAGATGTTCTGATTTTCCCATCAGGAGTCCTAGAATATCTGCAAGTGGCCTGGAGACAGTGTAACCAATGGAACCAGTATAGTCCACTATAGGCCGTAATGTATTACCTTCTTTGTGGATCTTGGGTGTGCAGTGTCATTCTAGGTGTGTTCTCTGCAGTGGAATACATGTGTCCATACTGTTATTTGGTGATCCTATTTTCTTGTTTTAATCTCTTTTGACCATTTTCTATATCTATAGTTTGATCCATTTTTACTAAAATGTGAACAGAAAGAAGGTGAATGCTTCAGTGGCCTTTTATTAACTCCTTTTTATGTCCAATGGGTTGAGATGCTCAGTAACCATGGTACATGTATAGGAGTTTACCTAACAACCTTTGGTATGAGACCTTACAAGTAATTGTCGATGAAACACTTTTAACATATAAAAGGTGTGTGCCTTTTCAGTGTCAACAAAGATTCCTAGCAAATGGCATGTATGGTCAGAATTAATTCATTCTCATGTGGTCAGATGTAGCTATTGAATTACTGTCTTAACTGATAAGTTGTCAACAAGGCTTTTATGAGCTGAACAGCCTTCTGAACAGTAACTCATCTGAATTTTGGTACAGAAATATCCAGAGTGAAGCTTTTTCCTGTGTCATAGTACTCATTGACATGTTGAAATACGTAACCAGGACTTATTTAGAAAAATAATTCTGATTTCAATGTCTTGAAGCAGTCAGTTAACCAATTAGTCCTTTCTTTCCCAATAACCTCACTTTGAAGAAGGCACCATCTTTGCAACAATCTCTTAATGTTAAAAGTCATCTATATCTAACTGAATCTCTTTAACACTGTTGTTTTGGATGGTACAATTTCTTTAAAAGCCTACCAGTCAGATATCATGATCCAAGGCATATTGGATCATCAGAAGTTGTTTGAGTGCTATAATGAAGATGACCCCAGCTACATCAAATATGGGCCAAGGTCATTTCTTTTTGCAATCTTTGTTTTGGAGTTTATCCCAGAAAAAATCTACCAGTCAGATATGTGGAAGAGGGTTTGGGGCTCAGTCATGGAAAAGGAGCAGTTATCTGAGATACAATCAAAGTGATAACAAATTTAGAAAGTATATGAAAATGAAATGCACAAGATTTATAACAAAAAGCTACCAATCCAGAGAGGAAGCATGACCCAAATGTTACAAGAAATGAACCTTCCATCATTCTTAACCAGAAGGCATGAAGTGGTAGAAGAGCAGATACCAGCAATATATCACACAGTCATTCGATTATGTTACAGAAACAAAAAACATTGAACCAAGGCAAAACCATTTCAATTGGAAAATGCGAAGCATCCAAATCTGTGGCATTTATAATCAGTAAGAAACAGACAGTGAATTGGTTGTCACCCGAAAAAAGAAAAGTACAGATATTTTTGACTGGAATCTTCTGGATGACAGTCCTGTCTCAAGGACTCGAGTACTAGTAGTTGAGTCATTCAAGTCTTGCGAGTCACTGCAGTTGAGATGGAGAAAGATGGAACTAATCAAGTACAAAAAATATTATCAATGTCACTATATAACTTTTAATTCTAATAAGCCATCCACATCCGTGAAAATGCAAACATCATTGTCCGTAACACGTGTATAGATCTATATCTATGTCCGTGTCGGCGATAGTCCCATCCCCTACTTTGTGTTGGCCCCTGGGCTTATTGTAGGACAATCTGCCTGAAGTTGATAACTAGCTATTTGATATTCAATTCATGTAACTGTGGGTTACTTTAGTGTTAGTCTATCTACGTCCAGATATATCTGACACACTTACAGTTTGTGTATACCCGCTTTCCTCACAGCCGACGACACAGCTTTCACAGCCGTCTGGAGAAAGTTGATCAGCTGAGAGAAATCCCCGGTCGCCTGAGGATGCTTTTTTTGTTCGGCAAGTACATACCGCGTCAAAGTTACCGAATCTGTATCAATAGGACCGTCCCCACTCATTTTATCAGTTTAAAATGTGCACGTTAAACGTATAACACCGATAGTTCCTGGACAACAGCAACTTTTTCGCCACATAAAATCATGCACTGCGTCAGTGTTTTCCTTATCTGTTGTCGTGTTCGTGTTGAGTACGTCCGGCCTTGAACTATAAATTTTCTGTGTTGGACCATTTTGATTGGTTGAAAAGGACACACCTCCACGTGGCATTTGACGCGGAATCCTGTTTGTAAACAATGTTGTTTTGGATCGTCAACAAAGGCAAAAGATGTGGACAAGCGAAATCATAACACCATCATTAATTTATAAAGATTTATCACATAGTGTAGAACAACAGTTAATTTATTATACGTTAGTATCCCAACTAAGAGCATACACTACATCACCCAAGACATTTTTGGTGTGAAGCGAGGGTGAAGGGTGTGGTTGCGTACATGGTGGAACCCTACATTATATGAGACAGTAATAGTGATACTTGCTTTTGGAATGTTCTCAGATCTCTATGAGCAAGAGTAAATTAAAAGTTTAGTGGGGATATTTAGGCACTAGTTATGAATGGACATCCCTGACAGTTTCTTGTTTGTACCATGGATTTAATAAATATGTAATATCCATAGGTCGAAGTCCGTGTCATATTTAAGTTCGTGGTTTGAACGTCAATTCGATGGGATGATTGTTTTTCTCGGAAAGAAGCACGTCTAGCTGTGTTCCTGCCAATGTATCTGTTAATAGTGAAATTTGTCACTCAAGTGTAGAACATAATTTGTGTTAAATCTTAATGTGACCGGCTGGCTTATCAGACAGATAGTTTAATTGCGGTCACCTTAGTGTCAGAATCATGCCGTGAAACATTGGCTGGACATGCTCTCCACCATGGAGACATTAACTGGTCACGGTTTAATTGTAGATCAGTAGAAGACACTTTCCCTATCAGAATTAGATTATAATTGCTTTAGGATAAACTGTAAGATCACAGCAAATAGAGTCAGTCCTGGTGTGGCCGTGGAAGGAGTAACTTGTTAAGCTCGATACTCAGGCCATACATGTTATCATTGTTGTAACTTGTGTTAATACTCAACATTTGTACTTGAGAACGGTTGTTGCTGGTCTTTTGTATAACATAAGGATAGTACAACATAACGGGGTAACAGTATCCTTATAATTGTATCATGCAAGGACGCATAAGGCAAACTATATGTCTGTACTGCGTGCCCATGCCGACAATAAATAAATATAATATAATATTACGCCCTTATTGGTTGAAACGAAATTTCTCGTAAAATGCAATAATTTTTCCACTTCTACGGCGATTAGAAGCCATATCAGAAGCAATTTTCCCTTTCCTCGATAAGTCGTCAATTACATCACTTCTTAAAGATATCTGTTTTTCTGAAAAGATTTTTCCGGGAAGTAACATAGTACAGCGTTGTCATCTACCCAATGCCACACCATCTTGTCTTATTGTTGTTGAAATCAAAAGTCCACGATCAGACGAATTTTCGCGGGAAATTTCTCTGGCAATCTATGACGTCATTTGATCGGACAAAGGGTGTTTTCTGGGGATTTCCCGGAAATGAAGATAAACAGACGACAGATTGTGGACAGAATAAAGGATGTCAGTATTTCAGAAGTTGTGGCGAACAAACACTGATTTACCATCTAAAAATGCAAAGGTTATTGCTATATATATAATATATTTGAATATTGAAATTTATTATGGACGATGATAAATGCTATGGTTATTTTTAGAATGGAAGATGCGCGTTCAAACTGGATGTCTCTTTCAGTTGTGATACAAAATACTTTGTACAATATATATGCTTTCATTTCCACATCAACAAATTTTATTGCATAAACATACACAATTGAATGAGACATAAAAAGCCTATAATAATCTTCACCCTCGGTTATTTACATCATAAGAATGCATACATTATATGATTATTAAATATGCATAATTATATTTCACTAAAGCCTGTTTCTACACATTCTTTCATTCCCATCCATTCATTCATGTAAACTTGACTTGTGCTTGCTGATGTCCTATTTTCAGATTAAGGTAGAAGAGATAGAAGGAGACCAGCCACTCAATCCATTCACAGAGGTCCTCATTCTACAACAGCACAGCGACATCATACGACAACTTCACCCTTTGGATGAAAAAAGGTCAAAATTTATTGTGAAAGGAGAGGGTCGGTCTGAACTGTACATAGTGTTAAATATGGTCTCTGTCACCCGGCTGACAGAGCATGCTTATTTAGCCCAGTAGATAGATGATCATACTGAAGACTTTGGTTTGATTCCTGATCAGGGCACTCAACAGAAATGTGTATTTTCTCTGTTCTTTAGCACAATCAACATTGATAAAAATCTTCGAAATAAAATCTAGCTTTAATTAACATCAATAGGTTTGTTTTTGTCGTGTAAAAGCATGCAATATATCCTCCTTTTTTAAAATCTGTTTCACTTATTGAAAAACGTAGCTTGGTGATTTGTATTAAAAATAATTGTGTAAATGTTTATGATTTTGACACTGCAATGATTGTTTGATTACAATGATGAATCACACCGATTCGGTTTCTGGATTTTGAGTTATGTATGACATCAGTTAATAACCACAATACTGTTAATCCAGTTTTTATTCTAAGAGTGGGTATTGCAAGCAGTTTTCATAGTGCAATATATTGGAAAATTCAAATGGATATTGCGGTTTAATCTTGATATATTGTTTTCTAGTATATTTAAATGATTTTTTTGTAAAACAAATTTGTACATAATAGAGAACTATCTTAATTATTCACCCTCTGATAAAGTTTGGGGATGGGGATAGGGGGTATACTGGAATCAGCTGGTCTGTCTGTCCTTTCATTCATCTGGCCATAGGTGAACTTTGTCTGGCTATGCATTCACACAGTTTACAACCAAAGTTTTTAAAATTTTGCAGAAATGACCAGTACAATATGGAAATGTGTCCCATTAAGTGACTTTGTATTCCCCCCTCCATTTTCAGAGATATCTCCCTTTATAGATAAAGAATTAACAAAATTTTGTCTGGCTATCCATTTTGAGAAATTCCCTTTTTCTGAGCATTCAATGACTTGTAATTTGGTTCACTTCTTTATTTAACATTTAATATAGGTTTTCATCTTCGTTTGCCTAGAAATAAATTTTTCCCCTTTTTTCAGTGTTTGTGGATTTAATAGTAATTTTTTCAGCGTTAATTCTTTGTGTTTCACTCTGCTTATTAGTGTTTTTTCATATAGTTGATAATGGATGTAGAATGCTGGTTTCTTGCATAGATACTTTTATGGAATGGTGTAGTCAAATTAGGAATTATTCAACCTCAGGATGATTCCTTTAGTTTAATTCACTGATGTCTTGAAAATTTCTCTGCAAAATTATCCAAACTTCTGTGGATAATTCCTTCAAACAGGTTTAGAAAAACACTGCAATATATCACGATACTGAAAATTATATTGCAATATGTTGTCATTAGAATTAGACAAACATTACAATTTATTGACTATTACCATATTATTATCCACCCCTACTTTACACGCACTCTGAAACCTTATATGTGTGATGGATGACCTGATATTATAGTGGTTGTCTCAATGTAGCACAATGCTGAACACAGTATACAGAAATTTTCTGATGTTTTATTCTTGTTCTACAAACAGATGTGTGTCAGTTGGGGATGACAACTTAGCAGTGGTATGGGACATACAGGTAATTTGACAGTTTTCATTTTCTATACTGTAATAATTTGAATGTAGTAAAAACTTATTTATTATACAAAATCTCTGGAGCCATAGTTACACTTAAATGTACTAATATATATAGTGTTAAATTTCTGAAGCCATGGTTACACCAAAACCTACCTGTATATAATCGTAAATAGTTTTCATTAAAAAACTTTCCTGTTTAGTAAGTAGTCTTGATGGATTTGCCATGGTTACAGAGGAAACATACCAGCAGACAACATCAGAAGTGTTACCATAGTGGTACCCATACGCAGGGTTTATTGTGTCGCCTGCAGAGGTGGCGGACACTTCGGGATCACTTTGTCGTCGTAGTGCATCAATGTCGTTAGGGGCATCCATACGAAAGTTTTTCAGACTTTTTTCAATTATGCTTTGAGTTATCAAAATGAAATTTAGTATATGACTTCTTGTTGGAAGGGTACAGATTAAGATCGATTCCTGACTGTCTGTAAGCCTTCTTGGCAGAGTAATGCCCCTTTGAACTTAGAAAATTCTCTGGGAATATTGTTTTCTGGACTTTCTTTGGTTATGCTTCGAGTTATAGAAATGAAATTTGGGATATGGCTTCTTGCTGGAATGGTACAGATTAGTTTTGACATCCAGTTCGATTTCTGGGTGACGGTGACACTTTATGCACATGACACATATAGTTCCGAGGAACTCTTGTTGTATTAATCCTCTGGTTCCACGATTACAGTGAAAATTAACTGCAATATAGGGTTATCCTATGACACAGTGAAAGCTTTCTTGACTCATTTATAATTTGTGTTGTGTAGTAAGTCCTTTCGGTAAATTTGTATCTCATATCTTTATCTTACATTGAAAACATACTGTACTAATTAGGTCAACATAAGCAACCAATACTTCCACCATGAGTTGCATATAATTAGCTTATTTGGATATATTTGCTTTGAGGTTTATTTATTTCAATGCTCTGCTAGGAATCAAAGCTGGGACCCCTTGCTTATGTGTCTGATAGTCAAGTGATTGAAAGAAAGAGATTATTTCTCTTGAACCTTCCAAAAGTGGCAAAGAAAACATTCTGGTTGTCACTACAAGCATTTCGCTTGGTACGCCCAGGTAGTACACTGTTGTAATCAAACAGTAAAGGTCACTGCAAATGTTTTACACAAACAATCCCAAGTGTTCTACAGATTTCAGGCTACACATTGGTCAAAGGCATAACTTTGAGAGTAAAGTTATGAAGGAGCTACTTGTTGATATTGTTTAATAACCATCATTGTTTTATTTTTACTTTGGGGTGGATGTTGATGAGTTCTTCAAGGTGGGAACATCTTCCACCACCATATTTTGCCAATACCTGTCATGGTAGGTTCGTGGGACCGGGGCTCATCTAAATTGTATGTCTACTTTCAACTTGCAAAGGTTGCTGTGTTAAAATGTGAATTTCAAATTACAGATACCAGCTTCACACTTAGGAATTTGTAGAATATGTCTATTATATCAGTCACGCATGTTTTGTGTTACAGTTACTTTGTTTCATTAACAACTTGTTTGATAGGGTAATCCACATATGTCTCAGTACTTAAAGAGATAACTGAGGGACAGGTGAAACAAGCACAAGTTGATTTTGAGCTCTATATTCCTTTTGCTCTCCTGTGGATGTGGTGTGTTATACTATCTTCTACCCCTAACCAGAAGGGTGGCATTTCATATCATATTACAGTTTAGTGCAATATACGAATCATGATTTTATTTACTCATATTATTTGTATTGGCGTAAATGCCAGAAAAATTTGTTTCCTGGAGGGGTGTGTAACTTGGGTTTAAATATATTCAAGTCATGTGGCCAGCAGTGGGTATAGTGATATGCGTTCTATGAGTATGTGAGCGTACAAGTGGTAGAGTCTTTTCCTGACCTTTCCTGCCACTTGTTTACCTGTTCTTGTGTCATTTTTGTGATAAGTGTTCAAGTGAACGGACACTATTAGATCCTCAGCATAGTTAATAGGTAATTGCCATAATTCACTCCCTGCATGTTTTGTGTTTGATCTGATGTTTGAAGGCGATAGATCAAGTGTGTAAGGATGTGAGTACAATTATTCTGAATAAAGGGTAGTCACAAATCATCGTTGTTTCATCTGGCTACAAAATGGTGCCTATGTAGGGACTCGGAAATGACACTTGGAATTATTTCCACAAACATTGCTGTAACACCATGAACTGGAGGGCAATTATTTCCGGGAGGGGGAGTATGTAACCCTCGTAAAATACTAGCAGCAATATACCACTCGGCTAGAGAGATCTTTTTAGCTCGATTGGTTCAGGTTGACTAGTAAGCAAGGGATCCCAGATTCGAGTCCTTGTAGAAACATTGAAATATATCAGGGCCGCCGATACATAGATGTCACTAATAGTTTGATGGACCAGTGAAATTGATATGCAGGTCAATGTCACATAGAAATGGTTAGGAATTCTTTGTTTATATCAACATGTTATGATAATGTTAGGAAAACATCATGACATGCTTTGCTTGGTCAGATAGTTTTGATGAATCATGCTGTCATGTCCAGGTTGTGATGTTTCATACTGACTAGGCACTCCATAGTTTTTAGTGTGCACTTTTCCAAGCTAAAACTGTCGTGTCAAAAATGGGGTGTGCATTATACGCAGGAACATGCCATTCTTGGGGTTATCATTCCTTAATAGCTTTTACCATAGTGGTCTGCCCATAAGTCTATCAACTTATGCAGATACAAATCAATCTTAATAGATTTTATATGCCAGTAAAACATAGAGATGTAGTCTGTAATGTATATATACATATATGGTAGATTTTGATATAGAGTAATAACATCAGTCTTTTTATTTTTTTAGCGCTGTTTAAAATTATGTGTGTTGAGCGGTCATACAAGACCAATCACATCGCTGCTTCTGAAGTCAAGTACGAGTTACTCAGATTCTGATTGGCTACTTACTGGGTCATCTGACAAAACTATAAAGGTATGTTTGCTTAATACAATTAACAGTGTACTGGACAATTTTGAATCCTCATTCCCTAATGTATATCGGTTAGCTCACCTATTAGGTTAGGGCCCAAAAGGGGAAATTTTACAAGTTTTTCAAAATCATACTCCTCATGTGGGCTATTGGATTTTGCCCAAATTTTGTTGGAAGCATTCTCGATCAAAGGGGAATCATTGTCGTATAAATCATAGGTCTCACTCCCCTGGGGAAGATTGGTGGAAATGGCACAATAGGAGAAATTTCTTAAGTTCTTCAAAAACCTACTCCTCCTGTAGGAGTATTAAGATTTTGCCAATATTTGATCTGAGGCACTCTTGTGTGAAGGGAAATCAATTTTGTTGAAACAATTGGTCTCAGCCCCTCTGGGGCAGGAGGATGGGGCCTTTGAGTGGAAAAAGAGGAAATTCTGTAAAATCCTATTCCTCCTGTAGGAATAATTAGATTTCGCCCAATCATATCCTGTTTATAAACTCATGTTGGTAATAGGCTCAAGTCTGTTTCTGGTTATAAGCCTACTCATATGTAAGTATATGTTCTTACTTAATAAAATGGATTGTATTTCCCTGTCCATTAATAAGCCCACCTTTTGCCTTGTAGTAAACAGTAATGTATTGGACCTTGGACTTGTTGTCAGGTAGTATGTCCATCTCTTGCCGTTCAGTTAACAGCAATGTATTGAACCCCAGGGCTTACTGTCAGGTAATGAGCCCATCTCTTGCCTTCCAGTTAACAACAATGCATTGGACCCGTGGGCTTATTGTTGTATAATAAGCTAACATATTGCCTTCCAGTTAACAGCAATGTATTGTACCCCTGGGCTTATTGTTGTGTAATAAGCTAACATATTGCCTTCCAGTTAACAGCAATGTATTGAATCCCAGGGCTTATTGTTGTGTAATAAGCTAACATATCGCCTTCCAGTTAACAGTAATGTATTGGACCTCAGTGATTATTGTCAGGTAATAAGCCCATCTCTTGTCTTCCACTTAACAGTAATGTATTGGACCCTGGTCTTATTGTCAGGTAATAAGTCCATCTCTTGCCTTCCAGTTAACAGCAATGTATTGGACCCCAGGGCTTATTATCAGGTAATGAGCCCACCTTTTGCCTTCCACTTAACAGTAATGTTTTGGACCCTGGGCTTATTATCAGGTAATGAGCCAACCTCTCGTCTTCCACTAAACAGTAATTGGTTCAAGGGCTTATTATAGGACAAATACAGTACATGTGACCTAAACTTTAGCACACATCATCACTTGAGTAGCATGATACATCTATATATCAATTACAAAGAGTTTTATCACTTATACAGTACATTGTAGATCTAATCTTAAATTATTTTGCTTCATTTTTGATGTTTTCTATTTCAAACATTAATCATCAGGTATGGGACCTAGACACAGGAAAATGTCTGCAGACTATGACAGATCATGGATCTTCAGTTAAGGTAATCCTGTTCTGATATTGTCATGGTTACTTGTATCAGAGTTCTGATAAATCCTTATAAGGTTAGTCATTTACATGGCACACTTACCAGGCATACATATCTGGTTCAGTCAGCATTATCGTAAATCACCCAACTTTGTTTAGGAGCCAAAATTTGGTAGAGAAATGATCTTTGACTTGTACAACATGAACCATTTTGAAAAAAATATAGTTGACATGAAATTCTATCTAGAAAAAAGATATTTAGTTTGTAATCTTGGAAATGCTGTTCTTACTATAAAATTCAGGATGAACTTTACCCTGACATGTTGAACATGAGGCAGGTCAGTGTGGCCCCTGTTACATAGGTGTCCTTAGATGTAGGGATTTAGGAGGTACTTACAAACATATGTAGCTGTCCTCTAGGGAGTGTGCAAGCTTGGTAAATAATAGCTGCATTATACTGCTTGGCTACACTTCAGTTCACTGGGTTGAGCAAATGGCTAGTAAGCCAAAGATCATGGATTTGTTTCCTTGTGGAGGCATGGAAATAAATCATGATCTACTTACATTGTATTGTGTATTATAATGAGTTGCTTCCCGATTCTGCATCTAGTGTCTCCTGTCCATCAACAATGACCTGTTTCTGTCAGCTGGGCAGTCTCTTCATCTGTGGTCTGGTGCTGGAAAACTCCTTGACTGCTATTATCGAACAGAAAAGGAAATTGAAGGTACTCATTTGACATTTGTTCTTGGAGAATTTCTTCAACTGAAGATCTGTTGGTATCATCTTTTGTTATTAATGAGCACATTACACTTTAACGTGGTGTTTATTTCTATATAGCACTCTTCATCAAAATTTTTGTAGTATCCAGCTGGTGTTGCAATGTTCAATTCTAGCTGAACATACTCAACAAATGGACATAAGTATGTATACTCTGCCTGCAGAACAGTTTTATTATATTTCATTCACCATTGTGTAGGTTTCAAGTTTTAGCATTTCCATTTCTCTAGAAATATTTAATGATGATTTAAGACCTTTAGAACGGTAAACTAACATGATAAAAATGTTCAAATAATGAAAAATATATATAGTGTAAAACAGTACACAGTGACACATGGTGTAAAACAGTACACAGTGACACATGGTGTAAAACAGTTCACAGTGACACGTGGTGTAAAACAGTTCACAGTGACACATGGTGTAAAACAGTTCACAGTGACACATGGTGTAAAACAGTTCACAGTGACACATGGTGTAAAACAGTTCACAGTGACACATGGTGTAAAACAGTACACAGTGACACATGGTGTAAAACAGTTCACAGTGACACATGGTGTAAAACAGTACACAGTGACACATGGTGTAAAACAGTACACAGTGACACATGGTGTAGAACAGTACACAGTGACACATGGTGTAGAACAGTACACAGTGACACATGGTGTAAAACAGTTCACAGTGACACATGGTGTAAAACAGTACACAGTGACACATGGTGTAAAACAGTACACAGTGACACAGATTGTTTACATTAAAATTAGGTTTGCAAAGACATTGATATTTATTCACAAGGTATTTTTTTCAATTATGTTCATGGTTAATTAAAACATTTCTTTCTTAAAACTGTGTTACATCTTCATCAATTAATACCAGGTAACTGGACATACTTGGCTCATGCTTGTATAAGGGATGTTTGAATTTAAGCTACATTATCTACTGAATAAATGTAGTCTTTTTGTCTCTTCAGATATAAACTTGATGATTCATGTGTGTGGACAAAAAGACAGAATTGTCACAGCCTCAGGCAAACTTATTGGTAAGTTGTCACAGCCTCAGGCAAACTAATTGGTAAGTTGTCACAGCCTCAGGCAAACTAATTGGTAAGTTGTCACAGCCTCAGGCAAACTAATTGGTAAGTTGTCACAGCCTCAGGCAAACTAATTGGTAAGTTGTCACAGCCTCAGGCAAACTTATTGGTAAGTTGTCACAGCCTCAGGCAAAGTAATTGGTAAGTTGTCACAGCCTCAGGCAAACTTATTGGTAAGTTGTCACAGCCTCAGGCAAACTAATTGGTAAGTTGTCACAGCCTCAGGCAAACTAATTGGTAAGTTGTCACAGCCTCAGGCAAACTTATTGGTAAGTTGTCACAGCCTCAGGCAAACTAATTGGTAAGTTGTCACAGCCTCAGGCAAACTAATTGGTAAGTTGTCACAGCCTCAGGCAAACTAATTGGTAAGTTGTCACAGCCTCAGGCAAACTAATTGGTAAGTTGTCACAGCCTCAGGCAAACTAATTGGTAAATTGTCACAGCCTCAGGCAAACTAATTGGTAAGTTGTCACAGCCTCAGGCAAACTAATTGGTAAGTTGTCACAGCCTCAGGCAAACTAATTGGTAAGTTGTCACAGCCTCAGGCAAACTAATTGGTAAGTTGTCACAGCCTCAGGCAAACTTATTGGTAAGTTGTCACAGCCTCAGGCAAACTTATTGGTAAGTTGTCACAGCCTCAGGCAAACTAATTGGTAAGTTGTCACAGCCTCAGGCAAACTAATTGGTAAGTTGTCACAGCCTCAGGCAAACTAATTGGTAAGTTGTCACAGCCTCAGACAAACAATATAGTAAACTGTGATAGTATGGGTAGCTAAATCAGGCATACAAACTTCTCCAGAATGTTGATTACTGTTTCCATGTAGATATAATCAAAGTTATAAATAATAGAATTATTTTATCAAAATAGAATTCCATAATTTTCCTTTGATATGTCAAGCATTGAAAATAAAAGAAATGTACATGATTTGTTTGGTTTTATTTTGTCTACACAGGTGTGTACCAAGTGAATATTACAACAGATAATAATATCATAGAAAGTGGTGACATTGTCTTTGTGAAGAACTTGTCCTCTCATTTGGAAGCTATCCGAAGTCTCACCAATTTATCAGGTACATAATTTTGATATAAATCAGTCAGGGATATTGCAAATAGATTTTAAAAGTCCTACAATATCCCCTTGTATTATAGACAATCTATTTACATATTTCTCTGTCAGATATAATACTTAAAAATAAAATTAATTACCATATTTACTTGTGTATTTTTCACTGTCTGTATCATGTGTATTATTCAGGGCTGATATGAAGTTCATTTTCATTAAAATTACCTAAAGATATGAATGATTTTAGCGTTTTGACAGGTTATAACACTTTTCTGAATTTTTAGCCCACCATCTATTCAAATAGATGGTGGGTTATTCAAATCGCCCTGCGTCCGTGGTCCGTCGTCCGTCTGTCTGTAAACAATTCTTGTTACCGCTATTTCTGGAAAAGTACTAGATGGATCTTTCTCAAATTTCATATGCAGGTTCCCCTTGGTCCCTAGTTGTGCATTGTACCTTTTTTGAACTGATTCGCTTTCAAGATGGCCGACAGGTGGCCATCTTGGATTTTGGAAGTAAAAGTTTGTTACCGCTATTTCTGGAAAAGTACTGGATGGATCTTTCTCAAATTTCATATGCAGTTTCCCCTTGGTCCCTTGTTGTGCATTGTACCTTTTTTGGACTGATTCGAATTCAAGATGGCCGACAGGTGGCCATTTTGGATTTTGGAAGTAAAAGTTTGTTACTGCTATTTCTGAGAAAGTACTAGATGGATCTTCCTCAAATTTCATATGCAGTTTCCCCTTGGTCCCTTGTTGTGCATTGTACCTTTTTTGGACTGATTCGAATTCAAGATGGCCGACAGGTGGCCATTTTGGATTTTGGAAGTAAAAGTTTGTTACCGCTATTTCTGAGAAAGTACTAGATGGATCTTCCTCAAATTTCATATGCAGTTTCCCCTTGGTCCCGAGTTGTGCATTGTACCTTTTTTGGACTTATTTGAATTCAAGATGGCCGACAGGTGGCCATCTTGGATTTTGGATGTAAAAGTTTGTTACCGCTATTTCTGAGAAAGTACTAGATGGATCTTTCTCAAATTTCATATGCAGTTTCCCCTTGGTCCCTAGTTGTGCATTGTACCTTTTTTGGACTGATTTGAATTCAAGATGGCCGACAGGTGGCCATCTTGGATTTTGGATGTAAAAGTTTGTTACCGCTATTTCTTGGAAAGTACTGGATGGATCTTTCTCAAATTTCATATGCAGGTTCCCCTTGGTCCCTAGTTGTGCATTGTACCTTCTTTGGACTGATTTGAATTCAAGATGGCAGACAGGCGGCCATCTTGGATTTTGGATGTAAAAGTTTGTTACCGCTATTTCTTGGAAAGTACTGGATGGATCTTTCTCAAATTTCATATGCAGGTTCCCCTTGGTCCCTAGTTGTGCATTGTACCTTCTTTGGACTGATTCGAATTCAAGATGGCAGACAGGCAGCCATCTTGGATTTTGGAAGTAAAAGTTTGTTACTGCTATTTCTTGGAAAGTACTGGATGGATCGTTCTCAAATTTCATATGCAGTTTCTCCTTGGTCCCTAGTTGTGCATTGCACCTTCTTTGGACTGATCCGAATTCAAGATGGCAGACAGGTGGCCATCTTGGATTTTGAATGTAAAAGTTTGTTACTGCTATTTCTTGGAAAGTACTGGATGGATCTTTCTCCAATTTCATATGCAGGTTCCCTTTGGTTCCAAGTTGTTCATTATACCTTTTTGGACTGATCCGAAATCAAGATGGCTGACAGGCAGCCATCTTGGATTTTGAGAGTAAAATCTTGTTACTGCTATATCTGAGGAAGTCCAGGATGGATCCTTCTGATATTTCATAGATATTGGTTTCCCTTGGTCCCTAGTTGTGCATTGTACCTTTTTTGGACTGATTTGAAATCAAGGTGGCCCACAGGCAGCCATCCTGGATGTCGACAGTAATACAGCACAAGCATATTGTCCATTATCCACCTGTAACTGACTGCTATCTAATAATACTTTGGGATCTTTTTCAAATGATATTTGCTAATAGGTGCTTAATAAAAATATCTTGTGCCATCATTGAGTACATTCAATGAAGACCAGTTCATGAACATTTACAACACCTGTAACAAACAAACAAAAATCTTCAAGAACTGAAAACAGATCCTCAAATGGTGGGCGCCAAGATCCCTCTGGTTTGATGAATGCAGTCTCTTAAAAAGTAAATTCTTATCACATCAACATTGACTCGTGTATATCCATGTCTGATCCATGAGAAATGACCCTGAACAGGAAATAAATGTAATTTTGAAGTTGATGTAGATGTACTGTATAAAGATCTACTCTGGACCTTCTGATCTGTAAACATCTTAAGTTTATTCCAAACACAAAACTGACAGAATGAGGGAAGGGTACTGTTGATAGTAGGTTCTGTATGGCAGATCAGTGCTTCGCCAGTGGCTCCCTAGACGGCTCTATTGTGATCTGGTCATCCCAAACCTTCCTGTCATCCTACAAATTAAATGCTGTAGACAGCTACTGGGGGAAGGACCACCTCTACCCTTACAGTATCCAACATGTACTGTGTCTAGAGGAGGTATGTATCATTCTACAGTATCCAATGTGTACTGTGTCTGTAGGAGGTATGTATCATTCTACAGTATCCTACATGTACTGTGTCTAGAGGAGGTATGTATCACCCTACAGTATACAACATGTACTGTGTCAGGAGGAGGTATGTATCATCCTACAGTATCCTACATGTACTGTGTCTGGAGGAGGTATGTATCACCTTACAGTATCCTATATGTACTGTGTCTAGAGGAGGTATGTATCACCCTACAGTATCCAACATATACTGTGTCTAGAGGAGGTATGTATCACCCTACAGTATACAACATGTACTGTGTCTGTAGGAGGTATGTATCATTCTACAGTATCCAACATGTACTGTGTCTAGAGGAGGTATGTATCACCTTACAGTATCCTATATGTACTGTGTCTAGAGGAGGTATGTATCACCTTACAGTATCCTATATGTACTGTGTCTAGAGGAGGTATGTATCACCCTACAGTATCCTATATGTACTGTGTCTAGAGGAGGTATGTATCACCCTACAGTATACAACATGTACTGTGTCTAGAGGAGGTATGTATCACCCTACAGTATCCTACATGTACTGTGTCTGGAGGAGGTATGTATCACCTTACAGTATCCTATATGTACTGTGTCTAGAGGAGGTATGTATCACCTTACAGTATCCTATATGTACTGTGTCTAGAGGAGGTATGTATCACCCTACAGTATCCTATATGTACTGTTTCTAGAGGAGGTATGTATCACCCTACAATATACAACATGTATGTGTCTACAAAATATACAACATGTACTGTGTCTGTAGGAGGTATGTATCATTCTACAGTATCCAACATGTACTGTGTTTGGAAGAGGTATGTATCACCCTACAGTATCCTACATGTACTGTTTCTAGAGGAGGTATGTATCTCCCTACAGTATACAAAATATATTGTGTCTGGAGGAGGTATGTATCACCCTACAGTATCCTACATGTACTGTGTCTATGTACCACCCTACAGTATCCTACATGTACTGTTTCTAGAGGAGGTATGTATCACCCTACAGTATCCAACATGTACTTTGTCTAGAGGAGGTATGTATCACCCTACAGTATCCTATATGTACTGTTTCTAGAGGAGGTATGTATCACCCTACAGTATACAAAATATACTGTGTCTGGAGGAGGTATGTATCACCCTACAGTATCCTACATGTACTGTGTCTGGAGGAGGAATGAATCACCCTACAATAACCAACGTGTACTGTGTCTTGAGGAGGTATGTATCACCCTACAGTATCCTATATGTACTGTGTCTAGAGGAGGTATGTATCACCCTACAGTATCCAACATGTACTGTTTCTAGAGGAGGTATGTATCACCCTACAGTATCCAACATGTACTGTGTCTAGAGGAGGTATGTATCACCCTACAGTATCATACATGTACTGTGTTTGGAAGAGGTATGTATCACCCTACAGTATCCTACATGTACTCTTTCTAGAGGAGGTATGTATCACCCTACAGTATACAACATGTACTGTGTCTAGAGGAGGTATGTATCACCCTACAGTATCCTACATGTACTGTGTCTGGAGGAGGTATGTATCACCCTACAGTATCCAACGTGTACTGTGTCTAGAGGAGGTAGGTATCACCCTACAGTATCCTACATGTAGTGTGTCTGGAGGTATGTATCACCCTACAGTATCCTTCATGTAGTATATCTGGAGGAGGTATGTATCACCCTACAGTATCCTACATGTAGTGTGTCTGGAGGAGGTATGTATCACCCTGTAGTATACAAAATGTACTGTGTCTGGAGGAGGTATGTATCACCCTACAGTATCCTACATGTACTGTTTCTAGAGTAGGTATGTATCACCCTACAGTATCCTACATGTACTATGTCTGGAGGAGGTATGTATCACCCTATTGTATACAAAATGTACTGTGTCTGGAGGAGGTATGTATCACCCTACAGTATCCAACTGTAATATGTGAATTCTTTGATAAAATATACTTAAATTAATGGCATTTTGTTTATAAACTTTTTAACCTTTGTTTCAGCGTTTTCTTCTGGCTGCAATAGGCTCTGGGTTTGGCCTGTTTGATATAACAACACGGAAACTCATCTGTGAGAAAGTCAGTGCCCACTTTTCCAAAATCCTGCATATGACTTTTGTTTGTGATGGGTAAGTAACCATGTTTCATTATACAAAATTTGTGCAAATTTTAAATTCTAAAGATACAGAGAATATTCCTTGATGAATAAGTTATATTTCACATCATGGAGTGGAAACTTTGATAGTGTTCACATAAAACATACTCTCAGTAATTAAAGCCTAAGTGACCAGGATCAATACATCATAGTATTAAGCAAGAGTTTTCTCCCTTTTTATACACCTTTATTTTCAAAATCCTTACCAGAGTCATTGTTTCTTATAAGGATAATTGACTTTTTTACTGCAAATATGTATGCTGTGATCTCATTGGTCATTAATCAGGGAAAATATAGCTGGTTGTTTTTATTTAGTAAAAATATCCCTTATATTATAATTGGATGCAAACCTTACATTCAGTGTGAAAAAGTGTTATAAATTGTTATGTAGTCCATAAGATCTCTTTATATTACAGTCCAGAATTCAATACCACTCATATTCTTACATAGTTTCGCCTCAGAGTCTGATTGGTCTACCTCCAATTATGTTTATTGTTCATTATGAAGATGATGAAACATCATACTGATGCTTGTGCAAGTGTTCTGTGACATGTAATGTCAGCCAATCAGATGTGTCGGTCACATGGTGGGCAAGTTGTGTGAGCTAGAGCGCAATGCTATAAGACTCTTCAATAGGTTTGGGTGTAGAATAGGGATACATGTTCCACCGAGAGGTGACAAAATGCCATAAAATGGGAGGCTTTGCCTCAGTTTTACCACATTTTGTTATCACAAGGGTGGAATATCCTTACATATGAAAGAACATTTTTTACTCATTTTTATTCTGAAGTAATAAAAAATTCTTAGCTTCAGACATTGACAAAGTACTACCAAGGACACCAGATTATACAAAAATCATATATTTTTGGCCGGGTTGCACGTAGTGCAAATCTGGGTTATGGTATGGTGAATGTCTGGCGGATAGGAGGGCGGGGAAAATGGGTACCAGTTTTGTAGAATCAACTCCTCATAGAGTTTTTGATGTAGAAGCTTGAAACTTTGTAGGATTTTATATATGTGTTGAAGATGTGCACCTATTAATTTAGGATTCATTCCAAACGTTTTTCTTGATTTTCCGGGCTTTGGAACTTAGTCATTTTCAACAGTCTGGCGTGGAAAATCCACGATGGCATCCTTTGCCTCTCATTGCTTGAGATGTTGTTTTGAGCGTGATAGTCTCCCATTGTCTGAAACGATGTTTTGAGCACGATATATAACATTGCACTCATCCTGCAACTCGGCCAATGGTGGCTTTGCCTCATTTTTTATTATATATTTAATCGATAAATTGACATAGAAAATAAATTCTCCCTACATAGATTTGGCAAACAAAATTTGCACTAAAAAATTAACAGAAAATATAAAGTCACTGCACATTATTGTAATGTGTATAAAGTATATCAGGTGTTGATATCAATTGGGATGGGACACATCACATTTCAATGTACATGAGTGGGTGTGTATTGCCCTGGACAGACCAGTATTATACAGGTAGAAATTTGAGCAAATGTTTATTCAAAGATGTGGTAATCATGACGTGTAGTGAATATCATGGAATGAGATATAAATTAAATGACTTGAGGTCACACCGTCAGCATTCTGTGCTCTTGATTTGATACTGCAATGTATTAAAACAGGTATGGCACTCTGTTTTGATCTTCATATATAAGGATTTTTGGAGCTCAGATAAATTCTCATATTGAAACAAAATGCCCTAATTGTATAAAACTTAATCAAATTGACATCACAAATGTCAAACAATGTATGTGGAGAATTTCCATTTATTCTCACCTCTTTTTGTGACATCAATAGGCATATTTTGAGGATTTAGACATCATTATCAATACTATGTGTCTTACAAATGAAGTAATTTAAAGTGATATTTTCAGATATTTCATCATCATTTAGAATACCTTGGCGGGGTAGTTTAATATTTCATGAAAATTCCATGTGTTTTCATTTAACACATTAAATTTTTATTTTAAAGAAGTGATGAAATGTATGTCATTATCTTTTTGGAAGTTTAAATTTCAACTAAACAGAAGTGAAATTTTGATACATGAAATAGTTTTTGTGTTTATAGGGGACCATGACTATACGGTATGTTAGCACTGTAAGTAGAGTTCACATCCTGCTTGAAGATTGTTAGGCCTAATACATAAATGATCTCTTGTTTTATGAGTAAGAAGACATCTGATTGTTTTTACTTCTTTGTCCACCAGAGCCTACTTGGCGACATGTTCCGAGGATGGTAGTATACGGCTCTGGGGCCACGCCCCTCATCTTAATAGTTCAGTGACAGAGGATAAATCCGACATGGATCTTCGACCAATTGAACGATTTTTGGACATCAGGTAATTTGTGATGCGACTATATTTGGTCTATACCAGCTGTGACTAGCTTTGGTAAGTATTAGCTATGACTAACTGTGGACTTTACCAGTTGTGACTATCTTGAGTCTTGTCACAACTGTGACTAGATTTGGTCAGTAGCAGCTGTGACTATCTTCGGTCTGTACCATCTGACTAGATTTGGTCAGTAGCAGCTGCTACTAGCTTTAGTCTGTGCCAATTGTCACTGGATAACGTCAGTACCAGCTGTGACTATCTTTTGTCTGTACCAGCTGTGACTAGATTTGGTCAGTAGCAGCTGTGACTATCTTTTGTCTGTACCAGCTGTGACTAGCTTTGGTCAGTACCAGCTGTGACTAGCTTTGGTCAGTACCATCTGTGACTAGATTTGACTCAGTAGCAGCTGTGACTATCTTTTGTCTGTACCAGCTGTGACTAGCTTTTGTCTGTACCAGCTGTGACTATCTTTTGTCTGTACCAGCTGTGACTAGATTTGGTCAGTAGCAGCTGTGACTATCTTTTGTCTGTACCAGCTGTGACTATCTTTTGTCTGTACCAGCTGTGACTATCTTTTGTCTGTACCAGCTGTGACTAGCTTTTGTCTCTACCAGCTGTGACTAGCTTTGGTCAGTACCAGCTGTGACTAGCTTTGGTCAGTACCAGCTGTGACTAGCTTTTGTCTGTACAAGCTGTGACTAGCTTTGGTCAGTACCAGCTGTGACTAGATTTGGTCAGTAGCAGCTGTGACTATCTTTTGTCTGTACCAGCTGTGACTAGCTTTGGTCAGTACCAGCTGTGACTATCTTTTGTCTGTACCAGCTGTGACTAGCTTTGGTCAGTACCAGCTGTGACTGGCTTTGGTCAGTACCAGCTGTGACTAGCTTTGGTCAGTACCAGCTGTGACTGGCTTTGGTCAGTACCAGCTGTGACTAGCTTTGGTCAGTACCAGCTGTGACTAGCTTTGGTCAGTACCAGCTGTGACTGGCTTTGGTCAGTACCAGCTGTGACTAGATTTGGTCAGTACCAGCTGTGACTGGCTTTGGTCAGTACCAGCTGTGACTAGCTTTGGTCAGTACCAGCTGTGACTAGATTTGGTCAGTACCAGCTGTGACTAGATTTGGTCAGTACCAGCTGTGACTAGCTTTGGTCTACACATAAACCAACTGTTATTATTTCCTTATTGATTATGTTACCATGTAATTAATTCATAAATGACATGACTGAACAGTAAGTCTTTATTTCTAATAATTCATGCATACTTAGAAACGTTTACCTATCATAGAGAAGGTTGATATAGTCTATGCCTATTACCTTATTGAATTGTTTATGTTTATACGATAAAATCTGTTGAAATGAAGGTACTTAAGAGCAAAGAAGGGAGAAATATCAAAACAACATAGAACCAGTAATGATCATCAGATTGTGGACATCCCTGGAGGACCTCTTGTTTGTTCATACATCTATGCATCCTAACAATACCAGGGATAGCACTCAAGCTCTCAGCAGAGAAGATGTCATATTAGATTCTTAAGAAATAAGCTGTTAACATATAAGCATACATGTATGTATATTGATACATACATGCAAGGAAACATTCATTTCTTACTTCAGGATTATTTTATTTGTTAATTTTAGCATATTAAAGCAAATTGAGATAAAAAACATAAAAAATAGGTTTATCGTACACAAAATATTATATACAATATGAATAGCAGTATCACTCTGTTGAGTGTATACATAACAGTAAATGGTGGGACTTTTTATTTCATTTCAAACGTGTGGTGGCTGGTAGATGCCATTTTGTTACTAATGCTAATACAGTTGCTCCACTTAACATCACTTTTTTGTAGCAAGAGAACAAAATAATGTGAAAATGCCACATATGATATTGAACACATAAAGTCACTGACTAGCAATCTGACCTATTTCCTCTTCCTAAGCCCCACCTTTATCTCTCCTTGATGTGAAATAACAGTAATAATATTTTGATTTCCTGTTTTTGTTTATTTCAGTATTTTGCTCCAAAAGACAATTAAGAATAGCAAAGAATCATTTAACATTATTTTGTTGCGACATATATCAATCACCATATAAATGGTATTTTGTTACAGCGGAAGTATCAGAATACTTCACAAAGATACCATTGAAATATGTAATTCACAAAATGTTTCTTTAATGGACCTTTCAAAGATCCCTGTCGTTCAACCCTAAAACAGCCTTGTTTCGTAAATTTCTAGGAAATGATTGATTGCTCCTTCTCAATTATTTATTTGTAGCTCTCAGTTGGTGATGATGCCAAAACCTTTGATATGATAAGTCAGATAAATATCTGTCCTGCTGATGAAATTGTTATCAGTTTGGAGATTTCATTAACTTTAGACATCCTATTATTTGTAACTGCACTTTCCTAGCTTTAAATCAGCTGGGGTAATATACACTTAGGAGCATGTTATTCATGTATTGAATTTTTGATAATTGCTGGAAAACTAGTTGGCCAGCAATGTAGAAACATGCTAAGGGTAATTTGTTTTTCTCTGAATAGAACAGTCATATTCAGAAGAAAATAAGCGTTCAAAAGAATCGTGAAAAAAAATTAAAATTAATAGGGAAAATATTATGATTACTATGGAGTACATGTAAATTTGTATCAAAGTTTTGTGATTTAGTGATCTCATGATCTACTGTCAATGTTAGTAGAAATGTATAAAATACTTAGAAGTTCATTGTGTCTCTGTACCATATGTTCATCATACACAGCTCTGCAATGATTTAGTGCAATTGTACATAGTGCACATGAATGTAGTGGGTTATTCTTCAAGTAGTCTTTGTCACAACGTCTATAAACACCTCTAAATTTCCACGATACCTTTGATAGTCTACCAATACTAAGTTTAATCAATGTTTTGCTTTTCAAGGATGAACAGTTGTAAACTAATAACATTTAAGAAAAGTAAGAATGACATATCAGCTTCATTTTCGTACTTTTTTACATCAGTTATTTCTCAGAACAAACCTTTGAATTTAGAACACTTTTCAAATAACTTTATGTTTCCATCACTTTTTTCCAGTTTTGACCAACTTAGAACATTCAAAGACATACTTCCTGAACCAGTCCTAATCGGGGAATGTCTAGCCCACTCTGGAGCAGTACAGGTAATTGTTCTCTCTAATCCAGCAACAAATAGTTGGATATCATTTAAAACAGGCAAGGTTAGTTTTTCAATATATCCTTAAGTTTGCTATACTTTCAATACAGTAGAAGGGAATAGATGTAATGTTATCACATTTCTAGACATTTTGTGTACTGCTCCCCTACCAGGGTTAGTTTATACTCAGATTTGAAAGACTGGTTTATACTTGCACTACAATGTAATATCAAATTTTACACTTATTAAGATTTGGAGATCGGTCAAAGGGAATGGTCATCCTTGACCAGTGACAGAGTAATAATTAACATATATATCTTTTTCAGCTCCTGTTTACTTTTCATTTAGGAATGTATATGAATAGTATTTTGATACTAGAACAAAGGGCAATAACTCTTACAGTATTAATGGTTGATAAAATACTAGATCAGTCCTAGTGTAAATTAGCAGTGTAAATCTATCATCAGTATTAGATCTGTTCTGTTGTAAACTGTCAGTGTAGATCTTTCATCAGTATGAGATCTGTCCTAGTGTAATTAGGATTAGATCTGTCCTAGTGTAATTAGGATTAAATCTGTCCTAGTGTTATTAGAATTAGATCTGTCCTAGTGTTGATTTGTAAGTGTACAAAGTAAACCTGTCATTAGGATTAGATCTGTCCTAGTGTTATTAGGATTAAATCTGTCCTAGTGTTAATTTGTTAGTGTACAAAGTAAACCTGTCATTAGGATTAAATCTGTCCTAGTGTTATTAGGATTAGATATGTCCTAGTGTAGTTAGGATTAGATCTGTCCTAGTGTTATTAGGATTAGATATGTCCTAGTGTTATTAGGATTAAATCTGTCCTAGTGTTATTTGTATTAGTGTAGTGTTATCAGTAAATCCTAGTGTTATTAGGATTAAATCTGTCCTAGTGTTATTAGGATTAGATCTGTCCTAGTGTTATCAGGATTAAATCTGTCCTAGTGTTATCAGGATTAGATCTGCCCTAGTGTTATCAGGATTAGATCAGGATTAGATCTGTCCTAGTGTTATCAGGATTAGATCTGTCCTAGTGTTATCAGGATTAGATCTGTCCTAGTGTTATCAGGATTAGATCTGTCCTAGTGTTGATTTGTAAGTGTACAAAGTAAACCTGTCATTAGGATTAAATCTGTCCTAGTGTTATTAGGATTAGATCTGTCCTAGTGTTATTAGGATTAAATCTGTCCTAGTGTTATTAGGATTAGATCTGTCCTAGTGTTATCAGGATTAGATCTGTCCTAGTGTTGATTTGTAAGTGTACAAAGTAAACCTGTCATTAGGATTAAATCTGTCCTAGTGTTATTAGGATTAGATCTGTCCTAGTGTTATCAGTGTTATCAGGATTAGGTCTGTCCTAGTACAAAGGTGTTATTAGGATGTTATCAGGATTAGATCTGTCCTAGTGTTACTAGTGTTATTAGGATTAGATCTGTCCTAGTGTTATCAGGATTAGATCTGTCCTAGTGTTATCAGGATTAGATCTGTCCTAGTGTTATCAGGATTAGATCTGTCCTAGTGTTATCAGGATTAGATCTGTCCTAGTGTTATCAGGATTAGATCTGTCCTAGTGTTATTAGGATTAGATCTGTCCTAGTGTTATCAGGATTAGATCTGTCCTAGTGTTATCAGGATTAGATCTGTCCTAGTGTTATTAGGATTAGATCTGTCCTAGTGTTATCAGGATTAGATCTGCCCTAGTGTTATCAGGATTAGATCTGTCCTAGTGTTATCAGGATTAGATCTGCCCTAGTGTTATCAGGATTAGATCTGTCCTAGTGTTATTAGGATTAGATCTGTCCTAGTGTTAATTTGTAAGTGTACAAAGTAAACCTTTTGTTTGACATATTAGATTTTTATATTGATTACCATGTTAGACGTTGAATGATACAAAGATCTATTTGACCTCTTTTTAGATAAATAAAAAGTGATACAATGAATTTCTCTTAAATCTGTTTAGCTCTCTTTTCAATTTCAGAAGAAAAACTACTAACATTTAATGTACATGTCTGAAACTGACAAACCTATTTGACCTCAGATATTTGTGCTGTTTTGTTGTTACAGATGGTAGTCGATTGTGGTTTGGAGGGGATGCTGTCTTGTGGAGTGGACGGACTAGTTATAGCCTGGAAGGTTAGTGGTGATCTTTACGATACAACATCCCTTAAGTCAATCTATAGTCTTTTACTGTAAGTATTAGTGAATTTTAGGTTGAGGGTTACAATTTGATATTGTTGATTTTTACTATAGGGGTGTTAAATGCTGAAATATGATTGGTTACGGTAGCTTAACTTTGGGAAGTAGGATAATGTGTAGTTAATGTTACCTTGAGATTCCTACAAGCCTGACTCGTTTTCACTGTCAGCAATGTAATATCATCTGCCACCAAGGGTCATGGCATTTGGCACAACCATGCAATTTTCATGCAAATTGTTAAGTGTGATATTGACATTTGGATTCAGACAAACATTGTGCTTAGGTTTCATGATTAATATAGTCCTCTGTGTTGTTGGTTCCTGTGAGAACTTTTGAAATAAATCAGATACCATATAAATGTAAGTGTGTACTTCATAACATACTTCTGTGAAAGGTCAATGTATTTATATTATGTAAATGTAAGTGTGTACTTCATAACATGCTTCTGTGAAAGGTCAATGTATTTATATCATGTAAATGTAAGTGTGTACTTCACAACATACTTCTGTGAAAGGTCAATGTATTTATATTATGTAAATGTAATTGTGTACTTCATAACATACTTCTGTGAAAGGTCAATGTATTTATATTATGTAAATGTAAGTGTGTACTTCATAACATACTTCTGTGAAAGGTCAATGTATTTATATCATGTAAATGTAAGTGTGTACTTCATAACATACTTCAGTGAAAGGTCAATGTATTTATATCATGTAAATGTAATTGTGTACTTCATAACATACTTCAGTGAAAGGTCAATGTATTTATATTATGTAAATGTAAGTGTGTACTTCATAACATACTTCTGTGAAAGGTCAATGTATTTATATTATGTAAATGTAAGTGTGTACTTCATAACATACTTCTGTGAAAGGTCAATGTATTTATATCATGTAAATGTAAGTGTGTACTTCATAACATACTTCTGTGAAAGGTCAATGTATTTATATTATGTAAATGTAATTGTGTACTTCATAACATACTTCTGTGAAAGGTCAATGTATTTATATCATGTAAATGTAAGTGTGTACTTCATAACATACTTCAGTGAAAGGTCAATGTATTTATATCATGTAAATGTAATTGTGTACTTCATAACATACTTCTGTGAAAGGTCAATGTATTTATATTATGTAAATGTAAGTGTGTACTTCATAACATACTTCTGTGAAAGGTCAATGTATTTATATTATGTATGTAATATATACTTCTGTGATGTATTTATATCATGTAAATGTAATTGTGTACTTCATAACATAATTCTGTGAAAGGTATATGTATTTATATCATGTAAATGTAATTGTGTACTTCATAACATACTTCAGTGAAAGGTCAATGTATTTATATTATGTAAATGTAAGTGTGTACTTCATAACATACTTCAGTGAAAGGTCAATGTATTTATATTATGTAAATGTAATTGTGTACTTCATAACATACTTCAGTGAAAGGTCAATGTATTTATATAATGTAAATGTAATTGTGTACTTCATAACATACTTCTGTGAAAGGTCAATGTATTTATATTATGTAAATGTAAGTGTGTACTTCATAACATACTTCTGTGAAAGGTTGTATTTATATTATGTAAATGTAAGTGTGTACTTCATAACATACTTCAGTGAAAGGTCAATGTATTTATATTATGTAAATGTAATTGTGTACTTCATAACATACTTCTGTGAAAGGTCAATGTATTTATATTATGTAAATGTAATTGTGTACTTCATAACATACTTCAGTGATAGGTCAATGTTTTTTTATTATGTAATTGTTATTGTGTCCTTCATAACATACTTCTGTGAAAGGTCAATGTATTTATATTATGTAAATGTAATTGTGTACTTCATAACATACTTCTGTGAAAGGTCAATGTATTTATATTATGTAAATGTAAGTGTGTACTTCATAACATACTTCAGTGAAAGGTCAATGTATTTATATTATGTAAATGTAATTGTGTACTTCATAACATACTTCTGTGAAAGGTCAATGTATTTATATTATGTAAATGTAATTGTGTACTTCATAACATACTTCAGTGAAAGGTCAGTGTACATGTATTTATGTTTCAGAATGCTGAACTACAAGCAATGAAGAGAAACCAAATGATACAGGAACAGTTTCTAAATCCCAGTGGTATAGTTTAGTGGTTACAACACTCGTCAGTCTATTCATTTGGTTATTTGTTTAATGCATGTTAAATTATTGATATGTGTACCATCTAGTCACAGATGAAATAGATCACAGAAATCAGTTTTACCATATTGTAACATTCTCTCTTATCAAGCAATGTCGCCATTGCCTCGTTAGCTGCCTTGCCAATTTATTTTTCCCTTTTTCTTTTTTTGTCATTTTGTTTTCCTTTGTTTCTATACTGTGGTTATATTAGATATACCACACAACAGTTCTATACTGTGGTTATATTAGATATACCACACAACAGTTCTATACTGTGGTTATATTAGATATACCACACAACAGTTCTATACTGTGGTTATATTATATATACCACACAACAGTTCTGTGGTTATATTAGATATACCACACAACAGTTCTGTGGTTATATTAGATATACCGCACAACAATTCTATACTGTGGTTATATTAGATATACCACACAACAGTTCTGTGGTTATATTAGATATACCACACAACAGTTCTGTGGTTATATTAGATATACCACACAACAGTTCTATACTGTGGTTATATTAGATATACCACACAACAGTTCTATACTGTGGTTATATTAGATATACCACACAACAGTTCTATACTGTGGTTATATTAGATATACCACACAACAGTTCTATACTGTGGTTATATTAGATATACCACACAACAGTTCTATACTGTGGTTATATTAGATATACCACACAACAGTTCTATACTGTGGTTATATTAGATATACCACACAACAGTTCTATACTGTGGTTATATTAGATATACCACACAACAGTTCTATACTGTGGTTATATTAGAGTTCTATACTGTGGTTATATTAGATATACCACACAACAGTTCTATACTGTGGTTATATTAGATATACCACACAACAGTTCTATACTGTGGTTATATTAGATATACCACACAACAGTTCTATACTGTGGTTATATTAGATATACCACACAACAGTTCTATACTGTGGTTATATTAGATATACCACACAACAGTTCTATACTGTGGTTATATTAGATATACCACACAACAGTTCTATACTGTGGTTATATTAGATATACCACACAACAGTTCTATACTGTGGTTATATTAGATATACCACACAACAGTTCTGTGGTTATATTAGATATACCACACAACAGTTCTGTGGTTATATTAGATATACCACACAACAGTTCTATACTGTGGTTATATTAGATATACCACACAACAGTTCTATATTAGATATACTGTGGTTATATTAGATATACCACACAACAGTTCTATACTGTGGTTATATTAGATATTATACCACACAACAGTTCTATACTGTGGTTATATTAGATATACCACACAACAGTTCTATACTGTGGTTATATTAGATATACCACACAACAGTTCTGTGGTTATATTAGATATACCACACAACAGTTCTATACTGTGGTTATATTAGATATACCACACAACAGTTCTATACTGTGGTTATATTAGATATACCACACAACAGTTCTATACTGTGGTTATATTAGATATACCACACAACAGTTCTATACTGTGGTTATATTAGTGGTTATATTAGATATACCACACAACAGTTCTATACTGTGGTTATATTAGATATACCACACAACAGTTCTATACTGTGGTTATATTAGATATACCACACAACAGTTCTATACTGTGGTTATATTAGATATACCACACAACAGTTCTATACTGTGGTTATATTAGATATACCACACAACAGTTCTGTGGTTATATTAGATATACCACACAACAACAGTTCTGTGGTTATATTAGTATTCTATACTGTGGTTATATTAGATATACCACACAACAGTTCTATACTGTGGTTATATTAGATATACCACACAACAGTTCTGTGGTTATATTAGATATACCACACAACAGTTCTATACTGTGGATATATTAGATATACCACACAACAGTTCTATACTGTGGTTATATTAGATATACCACACAACAGTTCTGTGGTTATATTAGATATACCACACAACAGTTCTGTGGTTATATTAGATATACCACACAACAGTTCTGTGGTTATATTATATATACCACACAACAGTTCTATACTGTGGTTATATTAGATATACCACACAACAGTTCTATACTGTGGTTATATTAGATATACCACACAACAGTTCTGTGGTTATATTAGATATACCACACAACAGTTCTATACTGTGGTTATATTAGATATACCACACAACAGTTCTATACTGTGGTTATATTATATATACCACACAACAGTTCTATACTGTGGTTATATTAGATATACCACACAACAGTTCTATACTGTGGTTATATTAGATATACCACACAACAGTTCTATACTGTGGTTATATTATATATACCACACAACAGTTCTATACTGTGGTTATATTAGATATACCACACAACAGTTCTATACTGTGGTTATATTAGATATACCACATAATGGTTCTTTACACATTTTTAATACTTTTTACCTGGCACACATGAGAAGGACTGAAGATGTGAAGAAGCCTCAAAGATTTTATCATAATTACAGAATTTTATGATGCAAACAGATAGATACAATGAGTGTTTTCTGCATTAGATCTTTGTATACTTTTCATATTGATGTTATACGACTTAAAAGGGCATACACATGAGTGTAAGATTCTATGTATCATAAAACTCATAATAATTAGAAAAAATAGAAACTATCATTTTGATTTTCTGTTAGGACAGAATCTTTCAGTGCTGAAACAAATGTATGACATGTGTAATAACATGTAGCATTTAATACTTGCATGAATTACCTGTTAATCGTACTATATTTATAACATGGGTTAATCACACATAAAACATTAAAAATTATTACACGAAAGAATTACATGTAAAGCAAAACATTATTACACACACGACTTACACGTGAATCATGTGAAAATTACAAATTCGAAATATCTTTAACATGAGTGATTGACATGTATAATGTAATGCGTTTCCAAGAACTATTAGTGTTGCACTACATAGTTACATGAGTGATTGACATGTATAATGTAATGCGTTTCCAAGAACTATTAGTGTTGCACTACATAGTTACATTTCTGTATTAACACTATGGCAGATATGTGAATGATATCCTCGGCAAATATGTGTTTGATACTCTCGGTAAATATGTGTATGCTACCCTCGGTAAATATGTGTATGATACTCTCGGTAAATATGTGAATGATACCCTCGGTAAATATGTGTATGATACCCTCGGTAAATATGTGTTTGATACTCTCGGTAAATATATGTATGCTACCCTCGGTAAATATGTGTATGATACTCTCGGTAAATATGTGAATGATACCCTCGGTAAATATGTGTATGATACTCTTGGTAAATATGTGTATGATACCCTCGGTAAATATGTGTTTGATACCTCGGTAAATATGTGTATGATACTCTCGGTAAATATGTGTATGATACTCTCGGTAAATATGTGTATGATACTCTTGGTAAATATGTGTATGATACCTCGGTAAATATGTGTATGATACTCTCGGTAAATATGTGTATGATACTCTCGGTAAATATGTGTATGATACCCTCGGTAAATGTGTATGGTTTCCTCGGTAAATCTGTGTATGATAATCTCGGTAAATATGTGTATGATACTCTCGGTAAATATGTGTATGATACTCTCGGTAAATATGTGTTTGATACTCTCGGTAAATATGTGTATGATACCCTCGGTAAATATGTGTATGATACTCTTGGTAAATATGTGTATGATACCCTCGGTAAATATGTGTATGATACTCTTGGTAAATATGTGTATGATACCCTCGGTAAATATGTGTTTGATACTCTCGGTGAATATGTGTATGATACTCTCGCTAAATATGTGTATGATACTCTCGGTAAATATGTAAATATGTGTATGATACTCTCGGTAAATATGTGTATGATACCCTCGGTAAATATGTGTATGATACTCTCGGTAAATATTTGTTTGATACTCTCGGTAAATATGTGTATGATACCCTCTTTAAATATTTGTTTGATACTCTCGGTAAATATGTGTATGATACTCTCGGTAAATATGTGAATGATACCTCGGTAAATATGTGTATGATACCCTTGGTAAATATGTGTTTGATACTCTCGGTAAATATGTGTATGATACCTCGGTAAATATGTGTATGATACCTCGGTAAATATGTGAATGATACCTCGGTAAATATGTGTATGATACCCTCGGTAAATATGTGTTTGATACTCTCGGTAAATATGTGTATGATACCTCGGTAAATATGTGTATGATACCTCGGTAAATATGTGTATGATACCTCGGTAAATATGTGTATGATACTCTTGGTAAATATGTGTATGATACCTCGGTAAATATGTGAATGATACCTCGGTAAATATGTGTATGATACCCTCGGTAAATATGTGTTTGATACTCTCGGTAAATATGTGTATGATACCTCGGTAAATATGTGTATGATACCTCGGTAAATATGTGTATGATACCTCGGTAAATATGTGTATGAAAAATAAATATGTTGTTACAGTTTTAATCGTTTGTTTTTATTATCAGTTGAAGTTTGCAATACCAGGTTACAGAATGGTGGCTTCTGCCACACCCTGGTTAGTGGAGTGTAATGTGTGCATATTTTAAGTTAAAGATTAATGTGTGTATACGACCATTAAAACATTAACAAATCGGGTATCGATGTTATAACGATGTGGCGAGAAACTGCTAATAAAATAACTTTTCACCAGGGAACTTGTTACGTGACTAATAACAAGGAATCGTCAGCGCTGTCGTCCACAATGTAACCAACACCCCATTCCAAGATTTACCGTGTTGACCCAAATAATCTTATTTACAAATTTCAGTCTGGAATTTTGCTAAATCATTATTGTACACATCCATTCATTGAAATGTATGCTCTATGCTGCTAGCGATAGAAAACGATAACCATATAGCTTTGACTGATTAAGACTTTTGA